CTGCATTGAAGACCCATTGGTGGCCTTCGGCTGTTGTCTGCTCTTTGGTCGGGTTGTTGTCTCTTTGACATATTCCCCATTTCCATTCTCAATTTTATTTTAGCATGTTTAGACTTTGGCAAAGTTCCATGAAATTGTATGTTTTCTTCAATTCATGAAATTTGGTATCCATGATAATAAATGAGTCCACAGTATTCTAAACTAAAATGTAAATGTGTTTTTTGAGCATATATATTCAACCCTTGATTCTTCAAACCAAAAACAGTTTGAAATACATGAAATTTTCAGGCTAAATTTACCTCAAGTCGTACCTTCTCATTTTGTAAATGACCAATGGATTGTCTTATCATTATGATCAAATACACTGAAGATACTGGACTTAACTGTTGTTGTAATATTCATGATACAGAAATAATGAAAATGACAATAAACGTTGATATAAAAGACTAAAAACCTAGAAGTAGGTTAAGAATCATGCACATTGATGATATATAATTTCCTAACTTTTCATTGTCTTATGTTTGGGGTTTCTTAATATAAAAATGTTTCCAAGTAAGAGAGGAAATTGCTTTTAACTTCAATAGGAGAGTTTTAAGGAATATAGTAATGTTTTCAGCAAAGTCATGATCCAGATAATAATAACCAGGGAAGTATTTATGTGAGGTCTCAATTAGTTCTAGAGTTTCCACAACAAGCTATTGATTTTTCTTTCCAACTTTCAAACAAGACAGTAAAATCAATATCACATACTGCCATGTTGATGAAGAAAATCAAAGTTTCTTATGAGGAAAACACAAGTTTTGTGTGCAAGTAGTGAAAAAATTCAATTATAGTCTAAATTTGATTTTAAGGCTAGAAAAGCCCCAAAAAAAGAAATCTTCATGGTCTGTATAAAAATGTGTGAAGATGAATACATGTAACATGTTTAATATAGTTCTTTTAAGAATTAGGTATCTCTAAGCATTGACAATAAATGAGATTTTGTAAAAATGATATTGTTTATGAAATATAATCAAATAAAAGGATATGTATCATGTGTATGGTTGGCATCAGTTAGACAGACACCCAACAGCACATATATTAAACCCAAATGTTATGTATGCACTTACATAATCAACAGCATTATGAGACAGACACCCAACAGCAAAACCAAATGTAATGCAATGAGACAGACACCCAACAACACATTTAATCATAATATAATGCAGTTGGGCAGACACCAAACAACACATATAAGCATAATGTAATGCAATTGGACAGACACCAAACAGCACATATTAACCAATTGTAATATCATGAGACAGAGTTGATAAATACCAACTTTCAATTGTTGTTAGCTTGAACTTAAACTAAAGTTTATGCTGCCTGGCCTGTGCTTAGGAAGATTTTGTTAAGCTTTTGGGGATGCATAGATACTCTGCCAATTCTAGTGTGATATTTATTACTGGTAGTTAAATTTAATACTTCTTAATAAGAGATTTCTGTGTTTTCTTCAAGTTTTAGAAGCCCTGTAATAGCTATTTAGGGATCTTTATGTTTTGTCCTTCCCAGCATACCTTTTCATTCCAGTCCAAATTATTAATTCATGGTCAATATAAAAATAAGAAGATGTGGTAAGATTGCCAATGAGACAACTTTTGACCAGTGACCAAATAACAGAGAAGTTCTGTCCACTTTGCAGAAGCTTCTATAAAATTGAGTTATTGTATTATTTGTACTTGATATAAAAATATTCTGAGATTCTATTTCTTTGATTTTTTTTCTGTTTTTATGAGGAATAGGTATGCTTATATAAAACATATCACCTTTATTGCGCTCTTGGGCTTTATTGCCACCCATTCGGATTCATGAATACTTTGGTATTTGCATAACTTGGTAAGTTGGGTTGGATAACAGAAATTCTGATCCAATCCTCTTCACAAGCTTTAGGGCTAATAGATACTTTTCAATATAACTTAATTTTAGTTGGAGTAATTTCCCTGGGCTGCCATGTTGGTGGGCAAACTGGTCAGATAAATGTTCCTTTTCTAGATTGTAGTGATGAATTATACATGGCTGAAATGAAGACTGTTTAGTGAACTATGTTTTTTTTTAAATCTAGCAGTCAGTATAACAAGTTGGATTTGGTTATTTTCAGAAGGAATTTGTATACAGTCTACAGTATTGCAGCACAGGGAACTTAATCTTACTCAAATTTCATCTGAAAACTTTCTATACTAACAGCTCTAAATTATTTAAGATTTTTAAAAAGATCTATCTGTGTAAGTACGTAAGTAATACAAAATGACCAATATATATAAACTGCTTTAGGAAATTGTTGAGATTTCAGATCTAAGGTATTGGAAAGTGTTTGAACCTGAATGTATTGAAAGCATATTTAAAGGTAAATTTTTCCCAAGTTTGTTTTAAATTCTGTGCCTAGTTTATAAGCAGGTGCAATTTTTGGTTGGATTATGTTTTTGCTTTTTGTTTGTTTGTTTGCTTCTTTATTTATTTTTTTATCAGGGGGTGGGGATGAGGTTGAGAAAAGGGGGTGTTAATTTGCTATATTATAAAGGGTAGAAATTGCTTGGAGTAGGTTATGCATTAGTAAATGTTTACAAGATGCAAACCAACAAAAGTTAAGCAAAATAGACAAATTTGAGGATCTTAAAATTTGCATACAGGTATTTTTTTTGGAAGATTTTTTTTAGGGGGGGGGGGGGGTAACAGGAAGCTTATCATTTCTTGTGTACAGTGTTTTCAAAGGTCAACTGTTCATCACCAACTATATAATTATGATTAAGTTATCCTTTTACATTTAAAGGATGTTTGGTCTTTCATTTTAAGAAAAAGAAAAAAAAGAGTTTTTGTTGCAGATGGAAAGTTAAAAGTTTAATTTTTGAATGTTTTACAAATTTAATTTTTAGGTGAAAAAATTATACTTTGATAGAATTTGAAACTGAATGGAATGGAAATTTGTTTTTTATATGAACTTGAGGCTTTTGTTTATTAACTGAATCCCAAAAAAGTTATAACATTCAAAACAAAAATGAAAAAAAACAAGAAAAAGCAGAAAAATGCACTGTGTGTAAAAAGCAATTAAAATGTTGTATACATTGTACTTGTAAAGATGTAGATATCAATTGAACATTACATATGTAACCATAATTTAAATTCAGAAAAAAAAGTTTTTTAATGGCAATGATATTGAAGAAAAAAAAATTAAAGGTGACGATCCTTCAATATGGCACACCTGTACATGACGATAGATCTCTCAGGTGAATAATTTGTTTTATGTTGCCATGGTAATAATACTCCCAGCTATCATTTTATTGATAGGTATTTGTATAGCAATTGATGGTATAATCTGAGCTTTAACAGTAAAATTAATCTATCTTTTACCTGATACATACATTTCAAATTAAAATCAAAGTATTTGGCAAATTCAAGATAAATGATGCCAAACTGAAAAACCTGACATTTTCCCTATGTGCCCTGAAGACTAGGAAATTAATAATTATTATGACTGAAAGATTAAATAACTCTGGAATCAGTAGTTATATGAGAGGAATTGTTAGATAATAAGTTTAATCCCTCATTGAATAATGCGTTTTGATTTTGATTTAAATTTCCTGTATATTTGAGTTGAGCACTATTGATCATGTTGATGAAGGATGTTATTCATTTGCTTTCATACTTATATCTTCTTGTTGGAAATACATAAAAGTTTTATCAGTGTTACAGTCTCAGCTGTTTACAGAAAAAAAATCAATTTTTGAACTTAATAGCATTTTTTAACTTATTTAACCCTCCTTCAGATGAAACCAGAACAATACTTTACTTACTTCAGAAATTTGATAATATGCAAATCCCATTGATTTATTCAAAATTTAAGTTGCCTTTGATATAAAAAAAAAAAAACAGAAGAAAGTTCCTGAATCTTATTTTATTAAAGAAAGATTTACTTATTGTCAAGTGTAAAATATTGAATGATATATAACCAAATCAGACTATTGATTTGTTTTTTTTTATAACAGTATCAATTCTGAACAAACAAAAGTTGGCCATTACAGGTAGTTTTCTTTGTGTAACACCCCATCAACCATAAATCTATACCAATTACTACCACTAAAACATCTGCTCCTTTATATGTCCTTATACTAGTTAATATTTCACCTTCATTAGCATGCATAGTTCTAAGCCAATCAAATTAGTTTATACAAATGACAAAGGCAGCAATCCGAAAGACAGATGCAAAATTATTATAATTGATTTTTCCAAAGGATGACATCTCTTTTACTCATTGTTCCAAGAGTTTGAACATTTAACTTTGTTATTGAGAAAAGGATTTTTAAGCTACACTAAATGGTTCTGAAGGTAAGATAATTGTTCATTTTACAGGAAAAGTACTTTTTATGCTAGTTTTGATTGTTTTAATGGATTTTAAACTTGATAAAAAAGTCATGCAAGTCATTGGAACTCTGTTCATAATTTATGCATCTAATGATGGTATTGGAAATATGTGTTTTTTGTATTATTTGACTTGTTAGATTAATGTAAAGGTAGGTGATTTAGATTTATGTTTGGTTGATAGTCATATTTATTTTACTTATAAGTGGTTTTACATGGTTTTAAGCAGTTAAATTGACTTTTCTGGAAAGTTTTATGCTAATGAGGAAGCTACCAGATTCCTTTACCGACCAAAATGGCTGAACTTGCAGACAAGACTTGTTGACAAATATAGTAATAGGAAAAAGTTCTTATTTGACAATTTTCATGGAAATTTATATCAAAGTCAACATAATTCACTTTTCTATGAAGGTTTTAATATTTTGATGGATTCTTTTTAGAAAGTTGACACTTTTTTTAAAGAATCTTTGATATGATGTTATTGATTTTTTTGGAAGATGTAGCTTTAGTTAATTAAGATGAAAGGCTAGTTAGTTATCATGGAAAGATGTGATTCATTAACCTTTTAGAGATTATAATATTTTTAAATTGATTTTTTTTCTTTGTAGAATTCTGATGGTGGAAAATCAAGGGGAACTGGAGAGGGAAATGAAAAGATGACAAACAAAAGAAAAAGTAAGTTAAGTAATTGAAAGGTCATCAAATACTGAAATATTTTATTTTACATTCATCCTACCGTTTATATAAGGTGTAAGGTTGCATCATATTATTACTACTATAAATTTGAACAATAGAATTGAAACTGAACTTTACCTGAAATTTTTGAATATTGATTTGCAATCAGAATTAATAATTAAGTATCAACTATTGAATTGTAAATGCATTGCTCCTGGATTAAGTTCACACAATTGTAGATCTTATTTTAAAAAGATATATGCAAAGAAAAGCCAAAAGTAGTGGAAAAACCTTTTTTTTTATTGTGTGAAAGAAATCACATGCAACAAGACTTTCGTGCAAATTTGACAGAAATTGTAGTACAGAATGATATGTAATTATAAATAAATAATTTTTAATAATTTACGATTTCACAATGTTATGTCTAATGGTGCGTGAATGACAACACAAAAGTTCAATATGTTACACAGTATAAAGTTGTTCACACTTTAGGTAGTTTTATCTACCCCCTGTGTAACAGCTGTCATCCTCAGGTACATGTACCTTTGTTGTGAATGACAGATGGTAAATGTTTAATCAATCAACTTTTATTAAAGTTTACAATTTTGGTCATTATTAATTGTATTATTGAATTTGCTGTTTTAATTCTACCATTATATATATTTTTTTTTATTTTAAAATACCATTTATTTCAGTAATTTCATTGATATATTAAGCACTTAAATGATAATGTTGGTGTTTTTTTTGGTGTGATAATAAAGATATCAATTTATTTGTAAATTTTCTTCCATGTTTGAAGGATTTTATTCTTATAATTAAATAATGGATTGTTTGACAATGGATCTTTTATTTTTTTGTATGAAGAATACTAGTCTGATAAATCATATACTTTTAGTTTGCAATAGATACAAACATTTAGAATTATTAAGTATACAATTATGTATACAGAGAAATGACTTTAATAAGTCGAGAGAAGTATCATTTAATTGGATGTGAGATACAACGTTATCGCTCATGCCAAAAACAGAAAATATCTGTATTAAAATCTGATGAAAATATTGTTTGAACAAATATTCTTTTTTTTTAGGTGCTGTGGATACCAAAGATTTAAGTAAGGTAGGTGCATTATATTCAAAGTAAAAGAAAAACGTTTTAAACTTTACTTGTGGCAGATCTTTAGATCCAGTTTTGAGACAGCAAGCTAACAACACAACTAACCAAAATACATATGCTTCCATTGGTTCAAACTTTTATTTATCTAAATGTTCTAAAGATTTCAAAGAAAATTGTTGAGCTAGGTAAGGGCATATATATATACAATCTTTAATGCTGATACATGATCTTGATATTAACTTCCTTTTTATTTGTTTTTAATAGGCTGAAGGCTTAGAAAGTAAAAAATCAAAGACAAAACAAGGTAGGTTAACTTCAAAGTGGATGACATTAATTTATTTGTATGTAAAGAATATAGGTAGTTTTTATACAAATGAAAAATACTCAACTGTACAACCCTTTTAACAGGTTATATTTTTTTTTAAATCTGATGGAAAGCATTTTATAAGATGAAATAAGATTGGCATTGTTTTATTCTATAAAAGAGGATAAGACTGATTGTTAAGATTTATTATGGATAAACTTGTAAAAAGAAGGTATATGGGGTTGAGTTCTCACAAACATGTTTAACCCCGCCACATTCTTTTATGTGCCTGTCCAAAGTCAGGAGCCTGTAGTTCAGTGGTTGTCGTCGGTTCATGTCTGTAATATTTGTTTTTCGTAAATTATTTTGTTATAAATAAGCCGGTTAGTTTTCTCAATTGAATTGTTTCATATTTTTCATGTCAAGGCCTTTTATAGCCGACTATACGGTATGGGTTTTTCTCATTGTTGAAAGTCGTATGTTGCCTATAATTGCTTACATCCACTTTATTTAAACTTTTGTTGATAGTTGTCTCATTGGCAATCATACCTCATCTCCTTATTTTTAAATGAATAAATGAGATAAAAAAGGGGAGGGGGGAAAAGATTTAAACTGTTAAGAACAATTTAATTTTAGCTCTGCGCACGCTGTTCAGGATATTATAGTCTTACTACTTTATTTTATTAAAAGAAAAAGTCTTTAGGATAGTTTCTAAATTTTATTGTAGATGCAGTATCAGATGGATTCTGTCCTTTTCCAGGATGCAATGGACTTGGTCATGTGTCTGGAAAGTATGCTAGACATCGCTGGTAAGATTAAACTATTTTACGCATTGTCTTTTACATATACTTAATTTTCAATAATCATGTATATATCTGAAACAAAACATTTCTGCTTCTCCAAAATGAATTAACAGAAGAAATATGAACTTTCAGTATTTTAATCCAAATAAAATGTACTGGAATTCAATTCTTGTCAAATGATTCTAAATTTTAGTCACAAATATGTGTTTTTGTGTTTCTCTGCTAACACAGCCCTTTAAACCACAGATTGATACAGTAGCATCTTAATGGACATTACTAATTAAAAAGGAACCACAATTATTTTTTTTTAAAAAGATCAGTTGACTTTTATTTTTACAAAAAGAAAAAAAAATAGTGTAAAAGACCACAATTTTTTTGAGTAATCCAAAGAATCCATTGGCATACAGCTACTTACAAAACCATTGATTCTTCATTTCAGTTTACAAAGCTGTCCACTGGCAGCAAACAAAAAGAAAATAAGTCAAACTACCACAGTAAAATCAACACCAACCTCTAAGTCAATCCATGTAGAAAAGACTGATGAAGAGGGGAACATTAAATGTGTCAAGGTCAGACTTGATGATGGTTCGAAGGTCAGTGCAGGCGATGATGAAAATGGAGCACAAGAGGAAACACCAATACAGCCAGTATGTTCAGATATTCCTGGGGGAAAACCTGAGGTATCAGAACCAACATGTTTCCAGGAAAGCGAACAAGCTATCCAACAATTGTCTGATGACCTAGATGTAAAACCAGCATCAGATGATTCCACCAGGGAAACTAGTAATGAAAATATTGTAAAATGTGAGATAAAGTCTGAAAATGAACAATCTGCTCCAAATGACGAAGACAACTTGCATAAAATACAACAGCAGTGTGAAACCATTCAAGAAAATGTTGGCAATCAAATAGAAATAAACATGTTTATTGAAAATATGGATCAGTCAACAAATGAACAGTGTTTACAAGAGGTTGTACAAATTTATCAAACTGAGAATGTTGAACAATCATCCCAATCAATTGAAGAGTCTTCAATCTCTTCCATACAAACTGAACAGTCATCACAACCCATGGAAGAACCTCCAGTCACTTCCATACAAACTGAACTGTCTTCACAACCCATGGAAGAATCTCCAGTCACTTCCATACAAACTGAACAGTCATCACAACCCATCGAAGTATCTCGAGTCACTTCCATACAAACTGAACTGTCTTCACAACCCATGGGAGAATCGTCAGTCTCTTCTATTCATACTGAACAGTCATCCCAACCCATGGTAGAATCATCAGTCTCTTCTATACATACTGAACAGTCAATGCAATGCATGGTAGATTTGTCTACCTCACAACAAACTGAACAGACACAGTTTTCTGAAGAAAATATTCAGATGACAGAAGGAGTTGCACAATCACAAGTGGAACCAATTGACCAAAACAATGTGGAAACTGTTCAGACGGGCCCATCTCAAATTATCATTGAACATATTGATTTATCTCAGGGAGGTACTGAGGATATGGACCAATCAGATATTATAGATATATCTGATGAGATCAAAAAAGAAAAGTCAGATGAGGAGGGAGAATTTCAGGTGGTAGCTGAATGGAGTGCTCCAATGGAAGTGATGGATAGAAAAGAGGCGGAAAAAGAGACGCAAACTGTGGAAAAAGAGAAATTTTCCCCAGAAGACAGTGGAAAGGATGATGGGAAAGACAAAGGTAATTATAGAACTGCAGTATTGGATGTATGAAATGTATTAAATATTACCCTACATCCGAACAGGCATTCTCATATTTTCAGACATCTACACACAAATTCTTTTCCACCAAATATTTGCAAGTTGGTGTAAAAAGGAAATCTACTTTACTGTTTTTTCTTTTTTTTTTGTCTAATGCATATAAAACATTTTTAAAGCATAAAATTTACATATAAAAAGTATGTCTTTATGTCCTTTATTGTAAACAAAACAAAACACATACAGTACTTTTGTTTCATCATGGGAGATAACTGCAACTAAGGTATCGAAAAAAAAAAGAATCAATTCAAAATCGGAAAATCTAATTCACCAACAGTAAAAAAACTCAAGAATGTCTAACTTGTGAAAGACTTGTTAGGTATGTGAAATCTTGCTTAGGGTGTACGGCATTCTTTTCGACCTTATTTTTCATTTGTCTGTTTTAGATTATTATATTTTGTATACAAACTATACGAAAAAGTTATTCAAAGACAATTTCTTGTACTTTTTTAATTTTATTTCAATAATTAGACTTCTTTAGTTAAAACAGGCCCCTGATTCAGATTCTCAACATTTTACTATGTTTGAGCTATGAATATTTCAATTGATAGAACAACATAATATAAACATTACTTTCAAACGTTTTTATTTTTATGTAATTGGAAGTTGTTGGTTTTTTTTGTGTATGTTTTTAAAAAGTTTATCGACCAAACTGATATGTTAAAAAAAGTTTATTGACCAAACTGATATGTTAATGTTACATATATGCTTTGATGCTAATCAATTTCAGATGTAAAATGTCCTACCCCTGGTTGTGATGGGACTGGTCATATAACTGGGTTATATTCACACCACAGAAGTTTATCTGGATGTCCAAAAAAAAGCCAAGCTCCTCCTGAAGGTAATTCAAAACATAAATTAACAGGGTCAACTTCACAATTATATAAAGTTAGTCCTGTTGTAGATCATGACTTCAAATAATTTTAAATTGTGCAGTTTCTGAAATGATTACTGTTATATTGAGATAAATAAATATATTTACAAAATACACCAGGCATGAACTTATTGTAGTTTTTCTTTATCTAATGTGGAAGAGCTTAAGTTATCGTTAATTCAAACTTTTTGTTTTCTATAATTCTGTTACAATTTACTGACAAATATTACTTTTTTGTAGTTGTTGCTGCACATGAGAGTTTAACCAGGTATGTTTATGGTATATTAGGAATAGCTCTCGATGCTTTATAGTGTTTCATGTACATGACTTGCCTGCCATTAGGTTGCAGATTTATATACATATGTTTGCTAATCCAGTGGAAATAGAGTTCACTTATTGTATTAAGCTAATTATTTCAGATGGTATTTGGTATATAGATGTCTTTTGGTCTGAAGTTTTGTTTCAGTGCGTTTGTATGTACATTGTAAATGTAAGTCTAAAACTGAAATTTGTCATACATCTAAAATTGCATTATTTTTGTGTACTATAGAATTATTTTTTTTATCAAATACTTTGATTTTTCCAATTATGAGAAGATTTCTAATTTCACTGGATTTGCTTGATAAATCCTCTTCATTGGTTAAAATTATGACATGAAATTTGCTATTATCTGGATTTGCAACTGTTACTGCAGGAAAAAGGAAGAGGCTACAAATTGCTCAATAAAAATAAAATGGTAAAACATCACCTTCAGAATAATTTTTTTTTAACTAATGTGTTTTTTCATTATAATGTTGTGATCAGAAAAAAAACTCAAAATTTGTGACTTCAAGGTATAGTTTCCATTTCAACATTGTCTTAGATGTAAAATGTACAATGGGTATAAATCATTTGTTTACAGATGTCCAACACCAGGATGTATAGGGAAAGGTCATGTCAACAGTAATCGAAGTACACATAGAAGGTAAGAACCATTTTATATATGGTTCAAAGTTTTTGGTTGGCTTCTTTAATCAAGTAATGTTCCATAAAGATCTGTCCATTTGTTTAAAAAAAACTGACAAATGCATAAAATGATCAAAGTGTGTTATAACGGGTAGTTGAAATCATATTAAGACATAATTATTAGGATCATGACACTATGTAGTGCTTTATTTATCAAACTGTTGAATTTGGTTGATGAATTTAAAACAAAACTGGTTGTCTTTTGTTAAATGGTGAATTTCAATCACAAAAGAAGACAAGTAATTTTTTTAATTGTCAAAATGTCACATTATATAACAGTTATTTGTTTTACAATTTGATAGTACTAAAAGAAATACAAATTCCAAGAAAATTTCACTTTGCACATACATATGAAATATGACATTATTATTTAATTTTTTTACCTTAAATCTTCTGTAACAGGAGAACCCATAAGATGTAAAAGATGTTTTTTAATTCCCTAAAAAAGCAAAATTTTAAAATAAATCAACATTAAAAAAAAACTTGAATATTTCTCATGTGTTTGACATAATGTCAAAATTTATATTTTACATTTTAAATTGACTTGTATATTACACAGTGTGTCAGGATGTCCTATTGCAGCCATGGGGAAACTAGTCAGTACAACAACAAATCAAGCAAAAAAAACAGGTCAGTGTTATTCACATTGAATATGAAAGAAATATTTAATAAGCTGTCCACAGAATGGCCTTTATCATATAGTTTTTATTATCTCCCTTTAATTTTAGCACCAAAAACTTTACATTTTTTTTGTATTTATTTTACTTGATATATAATTTGGCCCATTAGACATGCTCAGGCATTTAACAAATTCAATGGAATTTTTCTGTACAGAACCTTTTTAAAAAAAGTTCTTTGGAATGGATATGTGTGCCACTTTAGATAACATTTTCAAATTCTTTTCACAGACTAGGAGTTATTTTCTTGGTGTATATAAGTCTGTTTGAAATGTAGGATAAAATTGACAAATTTTAAACAATTCAGGTTAAGTATTTTCTAGGAAAATGGTTCATTTACCTCATTGAAGTTCATCATTCTCAATGACAATTTCTAGACAGAGAATTCAAAGTTTATTTATGGCTTAAAATGGAGGTCAAAGGGTAAATTTTTTAATAAAGCACAATACTTGTTGCATTAGCAGGCTAACTAATGATTTCTTAGATTCAATGTAAATTGTAATACTGAGTTTTGAGTGTGAAATTATAGGACCTATAACACCTGTCGGTAAGATTTCAGTGTTGTGTTAAAAATTGTAGGAATATACTTTTATTATCCATATCATTTAAGCATTGAACAGCTCTATTACAACAATTTTAATACTAAATCTAAACATTGTCAAACTTAGGATACACAATGTTTAATTTAGTAGAAAATGTATGTTTATGTGTTGTGTAATACAAATATATTGTGGTTTAATACATTTGATATTCATTCAGTTGACCAGTGTTGATGCTTATAGCTATATATAGTTTTTGCATCGTTATTGCACAGAATTGTATGCAATAGAGAACAGTAGACAAAAACAAGTGGCCTTGCTTTCAGTTCAGAAAAGTTTAGTGGTTGAATGGTATTAAAAGATGTGCTATTGAATAGTTATGATATTCTTTCACATCTGTAGTTAGATACTAAGAAAAATACATAGAAAAAAGTCAAAGGTCACTTGTTGTTGGATTTGTATACAGCCTTGCATGTTATTTATGTTGTTGCCATTTAGTTATATTTATTTGTTTATTTTTTTTTTGGTTTGTTAGGTCTGCATTTAGTACTGCTCCCTAAAGAAGATGACCCCAGTAAAGCGGTACTGGCCGCTTGTAATGAAAAAGAACTGATTCGCCTTGCCGCCCAGAAGTCTCAATCTGTCTCGCCTACAGGGCCTGCTAGTGGTGTGTACATTGCTTTTTGTTTGCTCTGTTTCATTTTGTAGAATTGTCAATAGTTTTTAAGATAATTATATTGAAACAGTGATCCAATTCTTTGAATTAGATATTTAAAGTGATTTGGAAGGATTTATTTTTGTTAAATTATCAGTGTAAATAACCGGTGAGCAAAAGTTGAACATCAGGTTCTTAGAAAAATAAATACAAAGAACTGTCATATAAATAGACATTTAATCAGTGTATATTATATTTCTAAGTGATTATTTGATCATTTAATAATATTTAGAAGGAAGATATTTGTTCTTATTATAGAAATTGAATGCTTAGATAGAGTTAGCATAATTATCTTTAAAAATCTTTTGATTTTTTTTTCATTTTGTTTAAAAGTAAACATATTTATAATTTACGGAAAGGTTTGGAAAAAAAAACAAATAAAAAACTTGTATAAATATCAATAAATGTAAACCTTATTGAATTTTTGACAAAACATTATTATGAAAGTAAGGAGGTGTGATTATTTTTTGTATTGTAGAATCTGATAGAATTCTTCGTCCAATGATACTCACCAAGCAATTAGAACTACAGGGAACAGATTCTGTTGTATCTACATCAACACCTCGTGGTAATCTTGCCAAAGAGCTGGAAAAGTACAGCCGACCGGACCTTAATAAAGTTAATGATCAACACGGAACCAGTGCAACAACACCAGTACAAAAACCTCCACCTAAAAAAGACTTAAGTGAACGACCTAACATCTTACGTCGACCTAGTTTTAAGCCAAAGCTTGCACGCAGTCCATCATCCAGTTCGGAGAGCAGCATTACATTACCACTCAGTCAGCCAGTTTCATCAACATCATCTACCATCAGTAACATTCTCAGTCAGCAAAAACAAGCTAACATTGAGTATACTAGGTCTGTAACTACGGTAACAATTCCTAATCCAATAATGGCGAATAAATCTAGTATCCAGCCACAAATTCATGGATCAGTTCTTACCTCACAACAAAATATTGCTTCAAAAGCCAAAACTATATATTTACAATCTGGTTCACAGACCTATAAATTACCACCGGGTTATATCATTTTACCACAATGAAATTATTGTTTTAATTTCTATGTATACAGCAGGATGAAATGGCTTGAACTTGGTTGAGGTCCTTAGTTTTGTTTTAAAAGTTAATAATGAGAGCAAACTTTCTTATGGTAATTAATCTGACCCTCTTTCTGTTAGCACTATCTGTGTCTTTCAAGTTTACTGGAATCAAATTTTCAAGCAGAAATTGAGCTCCCTTTTGATTTGATGTTTGTATCAAGATCAACAGTTATAGGACTTTTATTGTCAAAAAGCTAGAAAATAAATTTCATACACTAAATCAAGTTTGCTTTAGTGGATTTTCATTTTTAATATACAGTGTGGGCATTTATTTTATTTCGAAGATTTTTGGAAATGTTTTTAACCTGGAAATATGATTTTTGTGGGCCCTTGAACATATGTATTTTTTTCTTGTCTTCCATAGTACAGAAAAAAAATGGATTTTGTAAATATTTTTCAAGTTGGGTCAGTTGTGGTTATTGGAGATTTGAAAACAGAAACAAAACGTGCATTACTAGCCAAGTTCAAGCTTATAACATTTTTTTTCGAGAAGAAACTGCTGTTTCAGCTGTAGTAACATTTTACTGTTTTATTTTTGACATACATGTTATGGATTGATATATAGTTGTTATGTACTTTTGAATAAGCAGGACTTAAATTCATATTGAAATTTGTTTACTCTTTCATTTTCTAAACATTTGAAAACTTTCTGGGAAAGACCTCTTACTTAATTTTTTATCATATGTTTTCAGATTGATAAACAAAAGCTAGTCTTTTATTTTTAAAGAAAAACAATAGTTTGAAATTATATTTTTATATATTATTTAGAATTAAATGAAAACAATTTTGATAGGTCATTTAATTTTCACAGTTGAAGATCTACCAACTTAAATACTGAAGTATGAAGAAGTACTGTTTATAGAAATTATTGAGAGTAATAAAGTTTACATTTTTTGACAGTTCTGAATAATGTAACCTGCATTTAAGTCCATGAGGAAAAAGATCTGTAAACACTTCTCATATCAGTTTTAACAGAATCTGTGACTCTTTTCACAAAAATCTTATGATTAAAATTGATCGTAAGTAATACTAAAATGTTCATATCTAAAGAGAAAAACTTTTACTTGTAAGATTTTTTTTGTAAAGAGCAGCTGGTCCTAAATGTTGATAAAGTGAAGCAAATTTCATGTGAATACAATATTGGAAGTTGTAAGGATCAAATTAATTTTTTCAATGTTCTAATGTGTGTAAATTTGTCTTTACAGATCTATCGGGGACTTAAATACAGAGAGGTAAATTTGTCAAAGATTTATTGATGTTGTAACTGCTTTGTCTCCCTTTGATTCAGGTTTTTCTATCTTTTGTTTTTAATTCTATCAAGCTTTCATGACTAATTGTCATTTGATCTGTTTCTGTTTTTAATTTTTTCCCCATCATTTATGAAATATTAAGAACCATTATAAAAAAATTCACAGCCATATCAAAGTCCTGAACAGTTAAACAGTAAGAAGATACCATAGGGGAGGGAAAAGGAGGGAGCATTTCAGAGGTTAGAGAATCATTTTTTCATCAGATTCTTTTTGAATATAAAGTTTTTAGATTAGTACTGAATACATTTAAACCAATAGAAAGACAATTGAACTTTGGGGTTAACATGTGATATAAAACAGAATGATTCTTATAAAATTCTTAAAGCATTTAACAATTATTGCTTTTTAAAGGAAACAAAACAATTTGAATATAGATTTGCTTGTGAAAACATAACATGAAGATTTGGAATTTAATGTTTAAGACATAATTTTCTTTTTTGGTTTAAAAAAAGATAAGATATAAAAATGTCAACAGTTTTTGAGACATTTTGTACTTTTATAACTGAACAAAAAAATTTATATTTTGAACATTGGGAAATGCATTTGGTATATTTTATACTGCCATTTTTTGTTAAATCAATGTAGTTTATATATTACATTGTTATATAATGAAGCTTATTGTGACATATTGTTAAAGATTTTATTCCTTGTTGAACTCTTGTTTTTATTTTCTAAATAAAAAAAGTGACAAACATATGTTATTGACTCATTATTTGTGATAAATTGATCAATTTACAGTGCTAAATTTTGAATTGGTATGTTTACAAAGTGTGAAAATATTGATTTGTTTACCACTTCTTGTTAAAAGAATGTACATGTATTAAAAAGACTTGTTTGTGGAAAATTTAAAAATGTAAAATAGTTACAAATAAAAATAGATTCATGAACAAGATGTTAAACCAAAGAAAATTAGGCACTGCTTTTTGAGGATATTTATACCATAAGGTAAAAATAAAGTAATATTAGATATTTTGATTATGTATCACTGTAATATAATAGATAAGATTAAAAACTGGGCATTCTAGAAAAATTAGTGATTAAATGCCATTTTAGAAAGTTATCAATGAAATCTAAAGTTATCCAAAGTCTTGTTAGGGCTATTCCATTAAAATGTATGTGGGAGGGTACAAAGGGAAGTTTAATTATTGAATGTGGGTCATTGGTCTTTTTTCTATATGCGTCTATTACCATTATGCAAAATTATCTAAAAAATGGTTCTTGGTTGTAGGGATATTTTGAAAGTCCCTTCCTACCCTCCCACATACATTTTAATGGAATAGCCGTTATGAATTTTACATACATCCTGGTATTTTTGGTGGTAACATGATCACCTATAACATTTTCTATTATGGTATAAAAGCCTTAAGATTTATTTTACATTTATAGTTGTTGTATGCATGCTATACTTGGTGTCAGTTTAGACATATTTGATAGAAAAGCTTCATTTACGCTTTGTCAGAAAACTTTTACCAAGCTGTAAACTGATTAATAGGAATAAAATTTGAAATAAATAATGGAAAAACAAAAGAATATTGGGTATCCATCAATGACTCAAATTTACATGTGATAGTAAAATGATAAATCCCATGATATATTTGAATGTTAAATTATTTGAATAAACAATAGTAGGACACTGTATGGTCTTCAACAATTCAAACTGTAAAGCAATTTGATGAAATAAGAGTTGGCAATTACAGGACTTTTAAAACTTTGTGTAGTTTGGTTTTTGTGAGCAGAAATGGTGAACTTTTGAATGGTCAAAAACCAGAAATGGTGAACTTTTGAATGGTCAAACATTAGATTACTGTTCAGATGCCAGTTTTATGATATGTATTGATATCAGGTTATATCACATAGAAAAATAATAGATAAAAAACTAACTTACACACCAGGATCTTGAATATGAGTTTTCCTGATAGTAAAGAAAAAGTCCCTGCTTAGTAACATAATGGAAGGTATATTTGCAAAAACAGCATAATTTCTTAATGAAATAACATTATAAATATATATGATGAAAAAAAATAAATAATAATGATTTAAAAACAGTATCACACACTATTAGTTTGATAAGAATGTTCTAGGATTATAAGCAATTTTGATTGTCAGGTGTAGGAGTCCTAGTGAACTCAGTACAGATTCCAGAGGAGATCCATTTTATGACGGCTTCTCAGGAAAGGGAGACAATTCACAATGTCCAACACCTGGTTGTGATGGTTCTGGTCATGTGACTGGTAACTACACCTCCCATCGTAGTGTATCTGGATGTCCATTAGCTGACAGAAACATTGCAACTTCAAATCAAGTGGATTTGAAGTAAGTGATTTTATCAATAATTAATATTGTTACATACAACTTGAATTATGGCAGTCTGTGTATCAATTATCAAAAGTAGTACATTTCAATCAAATTTTAAGCCACTATACCTAGTTTTATAATGTCGGTTTCACCAATTTTTCATCATTTTAATATATGTAGTCTTTATGTTTTCATGTGTTTTCAGTATTGATACGTTTTACATGAACTAAGCTTTGAAAAAAATCTGAAGTCGTCATAGTAAACTAGCACAGTGAAATTTTAACCTGCTTCTTATATCTCAGTTTTGAAGAAAAAAAATATGGTCAAACATTGTTTTTTCCTCTCTTTTTATGCCCTCGCCGAAGCGGAGGGGGCATTAAGTTTTACCCTTGTCCGTCTGTACGTAGGTACATACATCCATACATCTCAAAATTGGTTTCCATTCTCTAACTTGAGTTTGCCTAAACCAAATGTTATGAAACTTATACACAATGCTTATTACCACAAAATACAGATCAAGTTTGCATTTTGGTGGTGTCACTTAAACGTTCTAGAGTTATGCCCCTTTATTAATGGAAAAATTCCAAAAATTTTAGTTTCCGTTCTCTAACTAAAGTTTGCCTCGACCAAATGTTATGAAAGTTATACACAATGCTTATTACCACATAATACAGATCAAGTTCGAATTTTGGTAGCGTCACTCTAACCATTATAGAGTTATGCCCCTTTATAAATGAAAAAATTACAAAATTTTTAGTTTCTGTTCTCTTACTGAAGTATGCCTCTACCAAATGTTATGAAACTTATATTGAATGCTTATTACGACAAAACACAGATCCAATTGAATTTTGGTGGCGTCATTTTAACCATTATCGAGTTATGCCCCTTTATAAATTGAAAAATTGCAAAATTTTTAGTTTCCATTCTGTAACTTAAGTTTGCCCCAACCAAACATTATGAAACCTATACACAATACTTATTACCACAAAACTCAGATCTAGTACAAATTTGGGTAGCGTCACTTTTATTGTTTTTGAGTTATGTCCCTTTATAATGTTGTATGCAAGCGGGGGCATCATCTGTGTCCATGGAGACACATTTTCCATTTATTTATGGTCTAATTATGATAAGGATTTTCCTTAATTCTTGAATATTAAAAGTCTTCCAATATCAAAGGAATATCACAGGAAAGGTATTTACTAAGTTTTGCCAAGAGAGTTTTAGCAGTTTTTTGTACAAATACATAAACATTGTTATTTTCAGATGTCCAACACCTGGTTGTGATGGTTCTGGTCATGTGACTGGTAATTATGCATCACACCGTAGTTTGTCTGGATGTCCTAGAGCAGCAAAGCTTAAAAGAATGATGGGAAAAGATGGTGAAAGGAAAGAGGAAGAACCTTTACGGTAAGTTTAATGATTAAACAGACCAAGAAACAGAGGACAATTAGAGAAGTTTAGCATAATTACTTTTTAAGATGAATAGCACAATATCACTTCAGTTGTTGATTCTATATTTCTTTCTTAGTGATTGAAAGAATTTTTAATGTTAGGAAAAAGACTTTAACTGTACAAAAGTAGACTTGTATGATTATTTATTTGCAGGAGGGGGGTTGTTAAATGTACTTAATCATGTACTTGGTCTGGTTTGTTATTGTCAAATGAACAAAATTCTCTAAAATTTCTTGCAGCTGTCCGATACCAGGATGTGATGGATCAGGTCATGTGACAGGAAAATATTTGTCACATCGAAGGTACATCAATGTTCCTTGATACACGATAATATGTTGTTCTTGTTTTTACTTTTAAATGTTGTGTTTTGCCTTGAATTTAGAGACATTTAAATATTTGTATTGTCTTAAAAAGATTCAATCAAGATGTTTGTCCCTATGTCCTTTTGGGGAGTTTATTGGAAAACACCTAATTTTGGGGTTATCCATTAAACCTTAAGCACTGCTATGATACAAGTATATTTTTGATAATAGTCCAAAAAACAATAGTTAAAAGTTTTTTTCTCGGTTCATTCCTATCATGCAGGCTTTCTTATATATTATAATTCCTTGTTCCTGGATAGAAACTTGTCTGAAATGTCAACAAGCCTGATTTCTGAAATGTCAACAAGCCTGATTTCTGAAATGTCAACAAGCCTGATTTCTGAAATGTCAACAAGCCTGATTTATCTAAATAACTTAAAGAAAAAAAGCATTAAAACTCCATTTCCATGATTGGACCTCTCGATTTTAAAACAAAAAATTGTAAAAAAAAATTCTAAATTGACAGATAAGATTGTTCTGATTCATAGCACAATACATCTATATGATTAAGAATAGTGTTAATGCCATTGAAAATAATAAGCACTACTGGACATCATTAAATTTCTCAGTAAATTAAGATTTTGATATTTAAAATTTTATGTTTATGCAACAGTGATTTCTTTTTCATTAACCATTTATCCTTCACAGTGATAATAAATTAACTTTGGATAACAATTTTCAATTTACTAGCTGATTCAGAGATGAGGTTTGACCTGTTCAACATTCTTTTTTCTATGAAGTTCAATTAAAAGTTTTAATTATAAGTCTAAATAAATTTGATGATAGCTTTTCTATAAAGTCATCAAATAATCATCTTCGCTAGCCAAGGATTACGATCCAGTCCCCTCCTCTCCACCCTTGGCAGACCAAGCCAACATTTGTGATTACAATGCTGTGCCATCTACTGGTAGACAAAAGTCACTGTCATTCTGACTACATCATTCTTGACCAATGGTAGCACTTGGACACTCTGCAGTAGGGAGGTATTTAAACGGTTGTGTCCAGTGTATACAAATTTCGTGAAGCAAGGAACCGAAAATAAACATTGGCATTCCAAAATTAGCGCTAGAAACATACCCAGAAACTTCAATTAGTTGATTAAGAATTTTAAGATTGTCACTGAATATCGTCATATGTTTTGGGGGTAAAGATTTGTTGCACTATCTGCATGTGGCAATTGTTTATTTACATTTTCCACATTTACACATGATCATCTGAAGGCTACAACTACGACCAATGGAAATCATTACATCATGACTCCGTATTTTTATCTTAATCTTGCAAGGGTGAAGTGGAAGGGACTGAATCGTAATCCTTGGCTAGCGAAGATGTCAAATAATTCAGTAAATTGTCTGAACTAAAGAAGCATTTTCAGGCAGGTGTTATTCCTTTTTAACACTAGGATGAAAAACTAGAAGTCTCAAAAACATTGAATAGACAGAAACTGCCTTTTACAGTGCTTCCATGCTTTGATTATCAATTGAAACCCTTTCCTTTAATCTGTCAATGTATACATGTTCATAATTAACATCACATTTTGTCAAGCCTGTGCCTTTTATAGCATACCATAGGGTATGGGTTTTGTTCATTGTTGAAGGATATATGACCTATAATGATTTATAGTTATTTAAATTCTGCTCCATTGGTAACTGTTTGAAAGTTGTTTCATTGGCAATTATACCAAATCTCCTTATTTTTATATAATCTTTAAATGAGGACTTTAATATAATTGATGTACTTTATATTCTATTTTGCCATCAGCACTACAAGGGAAAAATTGCACTTTTCAAACTATTGAAAACACCAGAATTTTTTGCGAGTACACATTTAATCTCTATTCAATTTATGCGTATGTAATATATTTGCCAACTGATTCTATCATAAGATTGATAGACATCAATATGAAACAGACATTTTGGGCAGGGGTAACGTTGATAGATTTAAAAAAAATCTGAAACATGAATAAGTGACATACCAAATGGGGCAGTTTTCCCCTGAACAAAAGTCATATTTTTTTTATTAAATAGTTGGCAAGTATAAACAACTGAGTTTATAATCTTTATTTTATTCCACTATAAATGTTGTTTGTACTGCAGAGTTTTCTATATATTAATACATATATAACCTCAGATTTTTTCTATATATAAATACATATATAACCTCAAAATCTTAATCAAAGTGTTCAGCAATGGCATTCATGTCTTGAACAGTTGAATCTTTACTTTAATATATGATTAAAAAATGAACTGATACATGTGAATGAGACCTCAACACAATAAACCAAAAAATATATGCAGGTCAAATGTCAGCTTTACTTCAATATAATGATCATTTATAGGACAGTTTTAGGAATAGTGAAATTTTAAAACAAAATTAAATGGAGGTATTTATGGCCTAAAAATGATTTTAAATACCTATTCCAGATGCAAATAAGAATATGGTTAAAACATTAGACAATTACTGAAATAAACATAACAAAGACTAAGTGTTAAGAATTTGAAAAAAAATATATTTGGAAAGAAAATGATAAAATCTTTCCTTCAACTTTAGATAAAACTTCTTTAGTTTCCACAAAAAAAGTGTAATCATATTGAAGACACTGTTTTTATTTGGATTCAGCAATGAGCTAAATTTTAACACTGCATGAAATAAAATATTGTCAATATTTTCCTAGAGAAATGTCAAAAGTAAATTATCCTTTTCCTGTAATAGGATCTTTCCACAAATATTGATAAATTACCTTGGTCAGCACTTTTGTAGTTCACACCATTTAGAATTACATTTTATTTCAGTGCCTCTGGTTGTCCTCTTGCCAATAAACATAAATTACAACGACAGCTACTGGCCAGTTTAGATTGTCAGGATTCAGATCTTGCCAAGTCATTAAAAATGGATGGCATTGTGTAAGTTCAATTAATACTTGCTTATCACATTTTACTTTATCCATTTCAAAAGTTTTCTCTTGCTCCAACTTTAAGACTTACAAACAATATGCAAATGCTCTTTCTAATTTACCAGATAATTAGCTATACCCAAATATATGTGTGTGATTGAATACATATAACTAAGAAATGAAATGAAGTAAATGTAAATGAGACATGAATCAGAAAATATCATCCCATAAGAACATTTTCATTCCTTTTTTAAATGCTAATTTGCTTTCAGTGTATGGCTTTTTAAAAGAATTATCTTGAAAAGAATTTATCATACTAACAAAAAGATGTGGCATCAATTTCAATGAAACACCTAGCCTAAAATAAAACAAAAGATGTTATCCTATATATATTCCCTTCGGCAGGACCTGATATAACCTTCAAAAATGTACAAATACCCGTACCATTAAGTAAGATATGGAAGCCCTGCATAAATGTCACAAATTTTAGAAAATGATATTAACAAAAATTCTACATGAATTTTCAGTGTAATTATTGTAATATTTTGTGTTTAATTGTATATTACAGCTGTCCAACCCCTGGTTGTGATGGTTCTGGCCATGCTAATGGAAGTTTTCTATCACATCGCAGTCTATCTGGATGTCCCAGAGCTACACAAGCTATGAAGAAAGCTAAACTCAGTCCTGCGGAATTGAGTATTATACATTCCAAACTTCAGAATGGTGAAGGTAAACATTTATATACTTTATTTTAACCAAAAAATTATTTATTCCTTGAACAATCCATATTTGAACAAACTAATTTATGGAGTTAATGACATTATGAACAATATGGGTTTGGTCTACAATATTTTGAACATAAGATGAAAAGAACATTTTCAAAATGATTCAGCTTAAAATATCTTAGTAATGGTAGATTGTGAACATACAGGAATTTTAAGCATTCAATTCTGTTATTTTTGATATTTCAATGGGGTTTTTTTTTCTTTTCTTTAGATTTACATAATGACGAAGAGTTGCAACAGCTGGAACTTGACATATCAAAAATCAAAGAATATAATTTAGAATTAGATCAAGAGGTCAGTAAAATGAGGTCAGATGTCATAACCTTAGAGAACCAAGTCTTACAAGAGGAGAAAGAAAATAATGCTATTCAGGATCAATCAAGAATACTCACTGACTATTTAACAACCCTGAAGAGACAAATTTTATCTGTGTTGTCCCAAATCAACATGCCACATTTAAATACAACATTAATCAATGAGGAGAATTTAGAAGAATGTATAAAACAGATCCAATCATTGTGTTTCAATAGAAATGGCAGCATGGTGGCTGGAGGGGCTATCAACCTTGGCGTGTCAGAAATTCAAGTGGCATAAACACGATATTTATATATTAATGCTTTATTTCTTAAGTTCAAAGGCCAAAGTATCCTAATGTGTCTTAAGCATAAAAGACCAAAGTGTTTGATTTGATAGAAGTCTTCGTTTTCTGCTGCAAAAAAAAATCAAAATTGAAAATAGAAGATTTAGGTGAGATGATTCTCTGTATACATATCATGATTATTTTTTTCATTATAAAGATTAATGTTGTCATTTTAAGCTTTATTTATGATAAACTAATCAGGTAAATGCATTTTATAAGATTCAAGAGAAAAGGTTTGCTTCATTGTCTAAGTGGCAAAAGAAAGGCCTATTGAGAAAACTTGTAAATATTTTCTTTTGAAATTCTGATTGCTCATAAATAACTTGTTGAATATCTGAATTCTGTTGAAAGTTTGCAAGAGGTATTTAGTTATCAACCTTTATGAATTCCTTGAAAGAAAATCATCTTAGGCCTGAATAATAAAATCCCCTACCTAGTTTTAACTGTCAAAAATTACCTTGAAATGTTGATTGTGGGGATCCAGAAGATAAAAAAGAAAAGTTATGTTTAATATAAAAGTAGTTGCATATTCCTTACAATTACATTTTAATTTTCTGCGATGAAATGCTTGGTTTAGTGTTCAACATTATTGCTCAATGAAAATACATATTATCTGTACAATGTTTGCTCAAAACTTATTCGCAAAAGCTTGTGCCAAAACGGATATATTTAGCTAAAGTAATATATAAAACACATGCACTGTTTCATAGTGTAAGCACAGTAATGACTTGAGGAATAAATTGTTTCTTTAACTTTTGTTATTTTTATTTTAAATCAATGCATCAGCAAAAATGTATCAAATCCTGTTATTCATTTGATGAAAAAAGGTCTAAGAATTTTCTGAATCATTGTTGCTATGAAATACGGAGAAATAGAAGCAGGAAACAAACAATTTTATACCTAATTACTGAACAAATGTTGTTTGTTAATAGGTTTTAGTTGGCATAATTAGTAGCTGTGGTTTGCCTTTTGTAGACACTAATATCCAGGGGTGTTCTGGGGGTTTGTACAGGTAATAAAATACATGATTGGTTCAGTTTTGTCAACTTGGACATTCCTATTTCCATAGAAGTCACTCTTTATCTTTTGAAAAGTATTGGATTTTCATATTTTCATACTATGAATTAAAATAAACATGACCAGATATTTTGAAATATTACAAAATGTAATGGACCATTTAATACATATTTAAGTAGATCTTCATTTAAATGATAATTTTGTTATTTAAAAATCATCCCATATAACTACTATTTTAATTCATATAATTGTTAACTTGTACTAAATGATAATAGTTCAGTAAAATTGAATGAAGAGCCAAAATAATGTTTACAAATGTCCACATCTATACTCAGATGTGTTTGTTGATTGAGAACTTTAGTTTTTCCACTGATGGAAATAATAGGTTCAGTACTTACAACACTAGTTTTAGCTTGCCCCATATGTTAATTTGTCAATGATGGTTGTTGTTTTTTATGCGTAAAGCAATTTTTATTGAAGTCAAATCTTAGATAGTATATGTTGAATTCATTCCAAACTTGTCAAGACGTGAGGCAATTTATAGTTAACATATGATTAAAAAGACGTGAGGCAATTTATAGTTAACATATGATTAAAATATCATTGAAATGTGACCTTACTTTGGCCAAGTCTCCATGATGTTTACCCAACAACTCTGTTAATTCATATATTATTGCACGTCATAAAAAAAATTCCACAAAAATGGTTTTAGATATACATGTTAGATACAGTAATTTGTTATGTTTTATATATTTATATATTTATTATGAATCATTCCATTGTACATAATAAAACCTTCAGTGTATATGAGAAAACAAAAGGTGCTTTTTACACTAATATTGTATTTAAAATTTGTTTTTTCATAAATATGACAATTCTCAGTTAACATGAGAAATTTTTTACTTACTATCTTTTAAGAAAATATAATTTCTTTGAAAAACATCTCTGATCTGATCATGGGGTGTGTTTAACAATCTACACAGTAACTTAATGCTGTATGTGGGACAGCTAACATATCTCCTTAGCGATCGGGGTAGAGCGAAAATCTAATTTTTATACGACCGCAAAAAATTTTTGTGGTCGTATATTGGTATGATGTTGGCGTCGTCGTCCGGCGTCGTCCGGCGTCGTCCAAAGACACTTGGTTTTCGCACTCTAACTTTAGTTTAAGTGAATGGATCTTTATGAAATTTTACCACAAGGTTCAATACCACAAAAGGAAGGTTGGGATTGATTTTGGGGGTTATGGTAATAACAGTAAAGGAATTAGGGGCCAAAAAGGGGCCAAAAATAAGCATTTTTGTAACTTCCAGACATAACTTGTGTGTTAGTGTATGGATCTCTCTGACATTGTACCACAAGGTTCCATATCACTAAAGGAATGCTGGGATTGATTTTGGGGGTAATTGCCTCCAAATTTTAGGAATTAGGGGCCAAAAAAGGGGCAAAAAACAAGCATTTTTCTAGTTTCATGACAATAACTTGTGTGTAAGTGTATGGATCTTTCTGAAATTGTACTACAAGGTTCCATATCACAAAGGGAAAGCTGGGTTTGAGTTTGGGGGTAATTGCCCTAAACGTTTAGGAATTTGGGGCCAAAAAGGGGCCAAAAAACACATTTTTTTCTAGTTTCCAGACAATAACTTGTGTTCAAGTGTATGGATCTCTCTGAAATTGTACTGCAAGGTACCATACCACAAAGGGAAGGCTGGGATTGAGTTTGGGGGTGATGAATCATAATGGGGGTTCAAAAAATTTTGGGGGGGATTTATTTTTTTTTCCTTTTTTTCTTTTTTTCCTTTTTTGTTTCTTTTAAAATTTTCCATTTTAAGTTGGTTATTTCTGATTTATATTTAAAATCAAATAATAATGATATGGTAGGAGATACACACCAAACAGGATGTGTAAATTATTATATAATAAGTATTGTGCAATAGCAAGAAATTTTCAATTGCACAGTATTGCACAATAGCAAGAAATCTTCAATTGCACAGTATTGCGCAATAGCAAGAAATCTTCAATTGCACAGTATTGCGCAATAGCAAGAAATATCCAATAGCACAATATTGCGCAATAGCAAGAAATTGTCAATTGTACAGTATTGCGCAATAGCAAGAAATATTTAATAACACAGGATTGTGCAAAAGAAGATACTTCCTATAAATTGCTTATTTCTTGACCAATTTCAATGGGGTTTTATTCTTGATTTCATGGGGTTCTTTAATATGCTGAATCTAACCGTGTATTTAGTTTTTGGATTTTGGGCCCCGTTTTTAAATTGGTCCACATTGAGGTCCAAAGGGTCCAAAATTAAACTTTGTTTGATTTCATCAAAAATTGAATTATTGGGGTTCTTTGATATGCCATATCTAACTGTGTATTTAGATTCTTAAATTTTGGTTCCGTTTTCAAATTGGTCTACATTAAGGTCCAAAGGGTCCAAAATTAAACTTAGTTTGATTTTAACAAAAATTGAATTCTTAGGGTTCTTTGATATGCTGAATCTAAACATGTATTTAGATTTTTGATTATGGGCCCAGTTTTCAAGTTGGTCCAAGTCGGGGTCCAAAATTAAACTTTGTTTGATTTCAACAAAAATTGAATATATGGGGTTCTTTGATATGCTGAATCTAACCATGTATTTAGATTTTTGATTTTTGGGCCCCGTTATCAACTTTGTCCACATTGAGGTCAAAAGGGTCCAAAATTAAACTTTGTTTGATTTCATCAAAAATTGAATTATTGGGGTTCTTTGATATGCCAAATCTAACCGTGTATTTAGATTCTTAATTTTTGGTTCCGTTTTCAAATTGGTCTACATTAAGGTCCAAAGGGTCCAAAATTAAACTTAGTTTGATTTTAACAAAAATTGAATTCTTAGGGTTCTTTGATATGCTGAATCTAAACATGTATTTAGATTTTTGATTATGGGCCCAGTTTTCAAGTTGGTCCAAGTCGGGGTCCAAAATTAAACTTTGTTTGATTTCAACAAAAATTGAATATATGGGGTTCTTTGATATGCTGAATCTAACCATGTATTTAGATTTTTGATTTTTGGGCCCCGTTATCAACTTTGTCCACATTGAGGTCAAAAGGGTCCAAAATTAAACTTTGTTTGATTTCATCAAAAATTGAATTCTTGGGGTTCTTTGATATGCTGAATCTAACCATGTATTTAGATTTTGGATATTGGACCATAATAGGTGAATGTCCAATTTAAAATTTTTAAGTTCTTAGACCACATTCAATCTGTGTTAGAAACCTATGCTGTGTCAAATATTTAATCGCAATCCAAATCCAAAGCTGTATCAAGCTTGAATGTTGTGTCCATTCTTCCCCCAACTGTTCAGGGTTCGACCTCTGCGCTCGTATCAAGCTGCGCCCTGCGGAGCATTTTATTTCACATTGTGAAGGAAAAAAACTGGTATCTACCCTCTCAAATGTTTGCTTCATTAAATTTAAATTGAAAGTTGATTGCGATGATTACTCAGTACAGACTGGTCTCATTTAGATTTATGGCTTTATGATAAATCAGCACAGACTGGGTTGTCAGTTTGAAAACTATTTTATCCTACATATAAATTTAATCTTATTATGATTTAGTAATTACATGTAACAATTTATGGTGTTTGAATGTGCAATATATGGAGTTTAAATGTGCAATATATTTATAAAAGAGTATTCATAAAAAGGAAATATTAAAAGATGCTGTTTAAATTTATAGGCCACACAAATATAATGTTTAGTTCTATGGGTTATAGGTATACAAAAAGATGTGAGTGTTTAAATTTTTTTTTCAATTTGAAACAGCTTTAAATTTTTCAGAATGTTTGAAATGGGATTTATAAACTAAGTGAATAAGAAAGCAACATTGACATGTACTTTCTATTCAATAAAAAGTTATACCAAATTTCACATTTTTAACCAAAATTGAAATATGCACTCTTAATGGTAAATTTTAACAATAATGAACCTGTCTAGAAATAATTCAGTTTTCAGTTTAATAGTTATCTTTGCATTTTTGCAATTGTTCTACAAAAACACTCAGAAAATCTACTATTTAACTGTATAAAAACTCAATTTTAACATTGTTAAATGATGATATCTCCTTTGTCATAGATTAAAAAAAACAACAAAAAAACTGCATACTTAATATAGGTGTTGAAATTTAAAAACTTCATTAGCTAAAAGTGATGCAAGCAACTATACAGGACTTACATCAATTTGGTATGCCTAAATGCTTTTTTTGGACAATTCAAATGTTCATTATCTTTTATTTTTGTTTGAATTTTAAAATAGAAAAATATATGTTCTTTCAATCTTTTTATAAAATCAACACAAAGTATCATTAGGAGTTTGAGAAGATCTTCATAAAGGTCAAGGTTATGTTATATTGTGTAATCTCGTTGTGATGTGGATTCCAAGCTTATTAAGAACAATTGATTTATATAGATGTGTTAATACTACATGTTTTCATGTTTGTATAACCCATTCCATTATTTATATAGATATTTGTTATGTATTTATTTATTTATTGACATTCCTCTTTGTTATAAAGTATGTAATTTAATTTTTTTTTCATTGTGAGAAAGAAAAAGGTGCAATATTTTCAGCAGATAAATGCTTCAAAATGATAATTGATTGTTTTCTTTTTTTATCAAAATGCCAGTGTTTGAATGTTTTACATTAAAACATGTATCTGATATATATTATCTGGTACATTAGCCTTTAACATCACTATTTGCCTTTACTTCATTATTGGGTTACTTATTTTCAAATTACAAGCACTATTTACCCTCAACTATGAGATATAATATGGTAAATCCTTTCTATAGTGATACCAGTTTAGACAGGTGTTTGGCTTGTATAGGCAAAAGAAAGTCCATCAATGTCCAGCACAGAAATGAAATAATGCCATACTTCACCAACTATGCAGTTATTTATTTTTCACTTTATAAATGCATTCAGAAAATCAAACTTTTCTAAATATTAAAATTCAGTGCAGACAGAGCAGTTTTCCAGCAAAACTGAATAATTCTAAAGATTTTGTATTGAAATCTCTTTTTGGTAGCTATATAAAAACAAGCATTCTGAGAGTATTGCATGGCAATACATAGTCCCCTACCGGTTAAAAATTAATTGTATTGGAACCAAATGCTAACTTGATCTATAACTTGTCATGGTGTAAACTATATAACAAATATCAAGTCAATATCTTCAAGCATGACGAAAAAAAAAGTTGAAAACTGATTATTTAAGGTGAATTTTCTAAATCCAAGGACCATAACTCTGCATGAAATCATCACACCGGAACAAAATTCGAACTTGGTCTGTAACTTGTCATGATAAAACTAAATACCAATTATCAAATCAACATCTTCAAGCATGACGAAAAATAGTGAGGAAAACTGATTATTTGAGTGAATTTTCTAAGTCCAAGGACCATAACTCTGCACAAAATCATCAGACCGGTAAAAAATCGAACTTGATCTGTAACTTGTCATGATAAAACAATGTACCAATTATTAAATCAATATCTTCAAACATGACGGAAAAAAGTGCGGAAAACTGGATATTTGAGTGAATTTTTTAAGTCCAAGGACCATAACTCTGCACAAAATTATCAGACCCGAACAAAATTCGAAAGTGATCTGTAACTTGTCATGATAAAACAATATACCAAATATCAAATCAATATCTTCAAGCAGGAAGAAAAAAAGTGTGGAAAACTGATTTGCCTGACTGACGGATGGATGGACAAACAGACAGACAGACAGACAGACAGACAGATGGAGTGCAAACCTAAAGTCCCCTTCGACTTCGTAGGTAGGGGACTAATAAGATGTGTTATGATTGCTAATGTTATTTTCCTGATAGTTGCTCACCTCAAGTACAGTTGGTCCTGGATTAGATCCCGTGCTGGGTCAAACGAAAGTCTTCAAAATAGGTTTTAGCTGCTTCTATGCAATGCACTCAGCTGACCCGTTGAATTGAAGTCAATTTAAAGTCAGTTTAAAATTTAGTGTTGACAGGAGTTTTCGTTTTCATATTAATATCTCCAGGTTGGTCTCCCGGTAGAGTACATACCTCAAGTGTGACAGGTTGTGGGTATATCCTAAGCTAAGTCTCGCCAAAGAATCGATTATTGTTATTTCCTGCTTCTCTTTTAAAAACACACAGCATTTAAGAGAAGGCAAAGATAGTTTCACTTGGAGTCAGACTGTGTCTAGTTAGGTTGACATGCCATCCTGCAGACTGTTATCTTGTGCAGAATAGTTCTTAAGAAGTAATTGATGTGTTATTATTATTATTATATTATATCAATATGGCTTGAAGGGGCAAAAAAGGGGCCCATTGATCCAATTTTTATACATATCTTCTCAAGAATGAACCAATTGAAATGAAACTTGACAGAAGTGTTACTGTGAAGGTCTGTAGTAAGTGATGTTACTTCCAAAATTACAAAAGGCTGCCAAAGGAGGTCGTTTACATCAAAACCCTATGGGAAATAATGTTTGATTTCTATTTTAGGAAGTGAAAACACACCATGCAGAAATAGAAAATTTTGTTAACACTCCATTAGATACTGAGGAACATACCTCATTGTAAACACTTCATCTGATCAATCAAGCTTGAAATTATTAAGGCCAAATGACATACTGTGGATTCATTATTATTCGTTGGATACCAATTTTCGTGGTTTCGTGGGTATAGGCGAACCACGAAATTAAATGTTCAACGAATAGCAAATTTTCTATAGGCTTGTATGCAGACCTCGGCAAAACCACGAAATTAAATATCCACGAACATGTAAGTTTTCCTTAATCCACGAAAATTGGTACCCACGAAAATAAATGAATCCACAGTAAGTCGGAAAGACATATTTTTTCTCAAGCAATGTAACAAAATAAAGTCTTTCAAGAAGGCCAGTCTCAAGACTCTCAACCACATATTGTATGATTGTTACTTATTTAATGTTCAGTGGCAAACATTTCTTGCATAATCTGGACAAGAACAAATTAATAATTAATACAAAAGGTAGGTTATAAGGGGTTAAGGAGAAGGAAATTTGGACTGCCACTGGAAAAATGAGTATATTGGATATGGGGCCGAAATCTTGCCTTGCGAAGACCATCTATGGAACCCTAAGAGTTGTTGCAAGGGTTCTTAATCTTTAAACATGCAGAGAACATGGCTATCTCCCTAATTGAAGCAACAGATTTAACATTCATATTCTGACCAGACAACCCATTTAGCAAGGGTTTTGCTGCTGGACATGAGAAGTCTGAGGATGACCATGGTTCTATACCCTAGTCCATCATACAACATAGGTTGACGTGCTAATCTCGTTATGACCAATATTTGTTTAGTTTGCTACTTTTTCATACTGACACCTTTGTACATACCCTAAACCAGTGAACCACATCATGGTCATGTGGCATCATTAGCTAGGATTATAAATATCAAGTGTGAACAGATTATTGTGAAGTTTTTAGATGGTCAGACATTCATATCAGCCCTGGGTTTGAATAAGTCCAACTTAATGTAGAAAGATCAGAGACCTGGCATGTTACTGCACATTAGGGAGCTGCCATTTGATTTTTATGGGGGGGGGGGGGGCTAGGATGAAAATTTTTGTCCTGCATTTTTTTTTAGTTGTAATCTCTGTCCTGCATTTTTATTTTTCACTCTATTCGGTCCTGCCTTATTTTTTTTTAGGTCATCCTGACTTTTTTACATAAATTGTCATCCTGCCTTTTTAGCTCACCTGGCCCGAAGGGTCAAGTGAGCTTTTCTCAACACTTGGCGTCCGTCGTCGTCATCGTCGTCGTCGTCCGTCCGTCGTTGTTAGCTTTTTACAAAAATCTTCTCCTCTGAAACCACCGGGCTAAATTCAACCAAACTTGGCCACAATCATCATTAGGGTATCTAGTTTAAAAAATGTGTCCGATGACCCCGCCAACCAACCAAGATGGCCGCCATGGCTAAAAATATAACATAGGGGTAAAATGTAGATTTTGGCTTATATCTCTGAAATAATACATTTAGAGTAAATCTGACATAGGGTAAAACTGATAATCAGGTCAAGATCTATCTGCTCTGAAATTTTCAGACAAATCTGACAACCTGTTGTTGGGTTGCTGCCCTTAATTGGTAATTTTAAGGAAATTTTGCAGTTTTCGGTTATTATCTTGAATATTATTATAGATAGAGATAAACTGTAAACAGCAAAAATGTTCAGCAAAGTAAGATCTACAAATAAGTTGTGATGACCAAAATTGTCAGTCGACCCCTTTCGGAGTTATTGCCCTTAATAGTCAATTTTTAACAATTTTTCTTCTCTGAAACTACTGAGACAAATTTAACCATACTTGGCCATAATCATTATTAGGGTATCTAGTTTAAAAAAATTATCCGATGACCCCGCTTCCAACCACCATGGCCGACTTGGTTAAAAATACGAACATAGGGGTAAAATGCAGTTTTTGGTTTATATCTCTGAAACTAAAGCATTTAGAGCAAATCTGACAGGTGGCAAAAATGTTCATCAGATTTAGATTTATCTGCCCTGAAATTTTCAGACGAATCCGACAACCAGTTGTTGGGTTACTGCCCCTGAGTTAGTAATTTTACAATAATTTTGCAGTTTTTTGTTATTATCTTAGATATCATTATAATATCTAATATCTAATACTATTAATTATGATTTTAACCTTATTTTACATGATTTCCAAAGCATCAGTAAATACAGGTGAGTGACACAGGCTCTTGAGAGCCTCTAGTTTTTTTACTCAAAACTCCTGTCTTGCCTACTTTTTTCAAATTTCATCCTTTTTGTCGTTATCTATAACAGTTTCTAAGGAGTACTGATAACAAGCAAGTAAAAATTTAAAACATGACCTAGATCACAATTTCCTTTTCTAGGAACAAGACTTCTAATAAATAAAACTGTTGACACAGAGATATGTCTGGCCTTTTTGTAATTTTGATAGTATTATGCAAATGTTGAATCCAAATGGCAATATTTAAACATATAAACTATATTTTTAGTATGACAATAAATTTTCACTGCTGTTCTCGTACTATGAACAACAAATTTATTTATTTTGTAAAAAATATCTCTGTACTAACTACAAAATTATTATATTTAAATTTACCTGTGTACATCATTTTTTTTAACACCATTTTGTCCAAGATTATTGTTGTCTTTTTGACATTGTGTCATATATCAAATTTATTCGTTCAGTGTATGTTTACTTGTTTTTGTTAATATGTCTTTTTGATTGAGTTAAACCATTTCAATTGATATTTTATAGTGTGTCTTTCTATGTTTCAGGTTAGGGTGAAGGTTGGCGCCTGTTAAAACGTTTTAACCCACTGCATTTGTTTGCACCTGTCCTAAGTCAGGAACCTGTTTCAGTGGTTGTCGTTTGTTGATGTGGTTCTTAAGTGTTTTTAGTTCTCGTTTTTTATATAGATTAGACCGTTGGTTTTCCTGTTTGAATTGTTTTACACTAGTCATTTTGGGTCCCTTTACAGCTTGCTGTTCAGTGTGGGCCAAGGCTCCATGTTGAAGGCCATACTTTGACCTATATTTGTTTACTTTTTACACATTGTGACTTGGATGGAGAGTTGTCTCATTGGCACTCATGTTACATCTTCTTATTTCTATATGCAAAACATTCAAAGTCAATGAATCATAACTTAAGGTGCAGGACAAAATAATCTTCATTCAAATGAGAAATGCCAATGCTTATAAAATTGCATATCAAATACCATTGACTTATCATAAGTGGTTCCCTAAACACTACCCTAAGCATAAACTTTAACTTGTACACAATTTGCAAGTTTAAAAGTCAATGTACCTTGAAAGGGGATGAGGCCAAATAATGTAAAAGAAGACTTGCAAATGCCCATCTGTCATTGACTTAATTAACATTAGTGGTTCCTCTTAAACTAATCTAATTACAAACTTTAACATGTAAACTATGCAAAACATTCAAAGACAATAGACCATGACTGAAGGGGCGGAGCCAAATGATCTCCATGGAAATGAGATATGCCAATGCTTATGTATCTGCATACCATATATCATTGACCTACCACTAGTGGTTCCCAATAAACTGACCTAATAACAATCTACTGCGGATTCATTTACTTTATTCGTAGGTACCAATTTTCGTGGATATTGGATTTAGTGGTTTTTCCAAAGTGTGCCTACAAGCCTATATAAAATTTGTTCTTTGTTGGACATTTGAATTCGTGGTTCACCTTTACTCACGAAATCCACGAAAATTGGTATCCCACGAATAATTATGACTAAACAGAGTGAGTTTCAAAAATGCAATAACTGTATGCCAAATATCTACAATTACTTCAATTAGATTAGACATGTCTGTATGAAATATTGTCATTCTCCTTACTAATAGCCCAAAATGAAGGCTGTATTACAATGCCATTACTATTGATGATGACAGCATTCAATGTGTTTGAAATACAGATTCTGTGTCCAAGCTACACTTACAAGGATCTAACAATGATTCAGTCTACTTTCTGTTTTAAAGAGCTTCTGGATCCTCTGGTTTTGTAGTAATGATACACATCTTCATAAATTTAAAGGCAGAAATTTCATTCAAAGTAGAACGGAATGTTGTCAGACCCTTGTAAGAGTAGCCTGATCTGTATTTCAATTAGATTGGACAGCATTCAGTTTCAATCTTATTTTGAATATTTTTTTATTCTATGTTTTCTTTATAAAGTCTCTGTTGTGTATCCTTTATGGTTCCTGAGACTATAGACTAGTTGAGGATTTCCAATACATTAATTAACTTAATTTGAAATTTCCATTGCAGTAGCAATCTTCCTATCTTCATATTGGTTATAAAGATTAAAGCTTGATGAAAAATGAACAAAGTGTAAAGTCTGTATGATGACGTGTTTTAGAACTGGCCTTTCAGTCATAAAATTTTAATAATTACCCAGAAAACAAAATTCTTGGCTCAACCTGTTAACAACTGATCTAGAAAATCATAAGTTGGCATTCTCTCTAGTGTTGCTTAAGTGTACCCGGTAACTTGTTCTAAAAGATTTATCATGTTGTTTAGTCTGTTAACAAGACTTGACAGACCCTTGACCTCTGACATTGAAAATCAAAAGGTGGTCATTATGCCCTGCAATGAATATGGCAGTTGCAATTTAATAGTTATTGAAAATATTTTTGCTATCTTTTAAAATTACCCAATTTCACATATACATGTGGTTATACATTTATGAGTAAATAGAGAAGGAAAACAAGTGTGCTCCAATTTATTTCAGAATACATTAACATCTCTTGATAACACACAAATATATAGCAACAAACAATATGAAAACTGATTCAAAATGAACCAAAAACATCTCATGAAAAATCTAACCAAAAAACATAATTCAAAGTTCTGAACAAAAAACAATCAATTTTTAATTCTGTACAAAATTTATTGGCATATTTATACTTTGAAAATGACTGTTCTATTTTGTTCTGTTATATAGTGTAAGTAATAAACCACAGAAACCTACAGAAATGGACATCTAAATTTAATGATTTTACTGTAATGACGGCCAAGTGATGACCATGTGACAGACGTGAAACATTTGCTTCCAAAGTGCTAAATCTAACAACTGCATCATTTAAGCTACATACAGCTGATATGTTAAACAGTCAAAAAACATTTTCTTCACTATTCTAAATTAATCATCTTTCCAAAAGAACTAATGGGAGATATATATAGATTCTTTTTTGTGAAATATTGGCCTCTTTCAGATGGATTTTATATCAACCAGTAGATTCCATCCTAGTAATGAAAGGTAAACTAAGCCAAGATTCAAGGCTACTGCAATTTCATCTTAGAGTTGCCTTACTTTTCTGAAATGTTTTTACTCCAGACAAAAATGAACAAAACACTAAATGGTATATCTGTTTATGATAACTGTATTTGTTATTACCTTCATCAGTGAATGTTTTTCACAAAACATGAGGAATATAAATTCTTTCATAGTCAAACTAATAGGGAAATCAGCACTCTTCTAGTCTTGTCTTTGATAATACAAATTATAAAACATGCAATTTTGAAAAATATCCTTTCATAACAGTATTACACAATCAGTCATACAAAAATATTCTGATGCCTCTCTAATATGCAAACCATTTTTCATTGATTTCTTAAAAACAGATCAAAGGTCAATGTCATACAAATTTCCATGTGAAGAATGCTGAATCCTTTCTTAAAGACTCTTAAAACAATATATTAACTCATTAATAAAAACAAAAACAGCATAAACAAAGATTTTAACTGAAGCAAAATGCTAAATCCTAAATGTGCAGTTTCAAATGCATAAGACAAAAAAATTACATTACTGCCAGGGTTAACATTTTACATTTCATTATTAAAGCCATGAAAATTTCCTGATGAATGAGTCAAAACTATTTTACAAGAATTACCACTATTGAAATAAAGCTTAATTTTCTCTATCTCATTGATGTCATCTGTTTCTCTCTTTCTCTTTCACACTTTCTACCAGTCATTTATTTCCAATTCCAAACATTAACTTGAGATATCTGTGTCATCATAAAGTGACTTTTTCTTTCAATAATGAAGCATTTGTACATTCCAATTCATACCTTCATGTTCTCTCTCAAACAAATAGTACTATGTAGCCATAGAAACCAAAATAAACATTCAATAAAACTTGTCCAACTGAACACAACAATTATTTACAATAAATTAATACATTTTATAGTACAAATGTATTTGTTCATATCACAGACTAGGAACGGTATACTATTGTCAGTGTTTGCCATCACACTTCATTTTCCACAAATTATTTGCTTCATGTTGTAAAGAATAATAATGAAAAACTTGTATCAAAACCTAGTCTAGAGCTACAAAATGTATCAAAACCCAGTCTAGACCTACAAAATGTATCAAAACCCAGTCTAGAGCTACAAAAAACATTAACAATATCGTAAGAATTTAATGAGTAATCTACAAAATGCTAATATCCAAATTTTATTTTTAAAACAAAGTTGGTCAATTGTGGGACAACACATGCAATTTGACAATGTGTTCACTCTTTATCACCAACAATCACCTTGTTTCATTGGGATTCACTTATCCTCAGCAAAAGTGATTTTTTACAAAATCACCTTGTATGTACTGTTAACAAAACTGTTGAATGCCAGCTACAATCAGAAGTAGAGTTTTAGATGGTTATGCTTTTGATATCAAAACCTATTTCGTGAACTCTCTCTATGAACAAGTTCCAAAGATGCTGGGAATAGTCCATATCAATATGGACTTTTGTGTCTAGTCAAATGTTAAAGAAAAGTTATCCCCATTTAAAGTAGCATACTGGTTGGCACACTCAAAATAAAATTGAGAAATTAAGCAAACTGAACAATAAATTTTAGTAAAATATTATCCTTTAAACCTTTTATGTGACTAAAGTTTAAAACAAGAAATCACAGCATTAGCCTGATTTTCTACAATGCCAAGATACAAATTATCTAATAGATATATAAAATACAAATGATCTATGTTATCCAGCTGCTGTATATCTGTCAAATTTTGTATGAATTTTGGAATTTTCCTTGGAGTTCAGTATTTTTTGTTAAATCTTTTTTGATATAGTTTCTCTCAATCTGTTGGAACATCGGACTATTGAACTTTTGATATTGTTCATGATTTTACTTTAAAAAAATTCCCTATACAGGAAAAAGAAACAAACAATGGAGAATAGTAGGTTTACAAAGAGATAATAATGCCCTTTAAAATCCATGCAAATTTTAACTATGATTACATCACCATTCACATAACAAAATATTTGGATATATCACACTTAAATATAGTGTTTAAATACGGTTTTTAACTCATGATATTACAACAATAACTCTAATTATGATCTTTCATTCTGAAAAAAAAAATTTAAGAGCGATTTGGCCTATTTCAGTTTATAACTCTGGAAAAACTTGACCCATATTCCCACATAAATTACTTTCTTGTAATAAAATATATCTTTTCTTTTTACAACTATTGATCATTAATTTGTTATGGTCAGAAAATGTTGTAAACTTATAAATGGGTAAAAAGGAGTTTTCTCATGAAAAGAAAAAAACAAGAATGCACACACTGCTTTACTGATCATGATTAGATTTTATGTTGAAAGTCTTGAAGATAAAAGTTCCATTACAGGTATCACATAAACTCAACATTGACAAATGAACATTTCAAATAAGTTCAAGGTCAGATGAACCCTGCTAGACATGTATGTCCTCCTTTCAATCATTCCATACACCAAATATAGTTGACCTTCATTTTGTTTTGCTTATAGTAACTGAGATAAGGAATTGACAACAAAAATTTACCATTGATCCATGAAATGAGTTCAAGGTCAGGTTACCCTGCCTGAAAGACATTTAGATGTTGCAATGATTCCATATACCAAGCAAAAAAAAGTTGTCTTATCATTCATAATAAGTGAATACGTCATATGATAATAAACTATACAGTTTTTGAAGCAGTCACTGAACCATGAAAATGACGTCAAGGAAAATGAACAGACTGCAGACAGAAACTTTGTAATGTAAGGCAAATGTGTACAAGTAACGTAACTAGTTCTTCTACCTTCTGAATATTAAACTTTACATTATTATGTTATGCTGTTGCTCCTGCTGACTGATTAGCATCCCTTTGTCTCGCAAAATAATTATGCTTTTTTTTAGAACAAACAGCTCTGTATACATTGAACTTTAGATATCAGTATGGTTTAATTAACTAAATACATTAAGACTGAAACCGTATGACTGCTTCTATGGTGAACTACAGCATAATTTAATTTTCAGGGTCTAAATAGAGTTCTTGTGAACTTCCCCTTTTCCTTGTCAGTATTTCATGCTTCTCTTTACCAAAGAATTCTAACAAATTGGTGTAAATTGTATTCTGTTAGTGTGCAAAAATTTTATGTGTACAACTCTTAGCTTAACATTGTGGAATAATTGTACATACACCAAACTTTTTTCTAGCATTTTCTATAGTAGTTAATGTAAGCTTTCATAGCTTCAGGAAGCGGCAGTACATAAATTTTGTCCTGCATATAAGTTTTAATATTTTCACGTGGTTCACTGTCATCATCTGTCTCAGTATCAACAATGTCTTTGTCATTCACAATACCTTCATCCTCGTCATTATTATTTTCTGGTTGTTTAATGTCCGTTTCATCTTCTTCAACAATTTGATCACAGCAGCTTCGCTCAGGACTACTTTCATCCGGAGAACTTTTCTGACTTAATGACCGTCCATTTCCCATTTCTGGTAAGTGATCGTCTATAAAAGATCCAAATGCAGAGGCATCAGAGAATGAACCAATACCTGAAGTTTCAGATGTATCAGCACTATTGTTTGACATACACCGTGACGTTTTCTTCACTCTGTTATGGAAATCAATCACATCAGCTATGTCCATACCTTCTTCTTCATGATCCTCTTCTGAATTTTCCGTACTACTTTCTGTTTTGTCTTCTGTTTTTATCTTCTTACTAATTGTTTCATCATTTTCCATTTCCTTATCTTCTTCATTTTCATCCTCATCAGCTGAGGCGTCTGCTCCATTTAACAAATCCATGCATCTCTGAGCGCGCAAAAGTGCACGCATTTGTTCAATGCGTGAACTTAGTTGGCTTAGTCTCAAACCTAACCGTGGATTTGCTGAGGATGGGATTGGAATAGTTTCATCATCATCGTCCTCGATATTTTCCTCATCATTTTCCCTAGTTTCATTATTTCCATCAATATTTTTATCACAATTTGCTCCATTTTGTTTTTCATTTTTCAACCCATCATCAGAATCCTCATCATAATCAAAGAAATCTTCTGGTATGACACCCTCACTATCATTGTCAGCTTTCAGATCTCTTGATGGAATTGTTACCTCATCATCTTCCATTTCACTGTCATCAAAATCACTGTCGAGATGTGGTGATCTTATAGCTCTGGTATTACTTCCTTCTTCGTCATCTTCACCACTTCCAGTACTCTCATCAAAATTACTTAACATGATCATTCCAACGTTTGTTGGCACAATATTTATTCTTCGTCTATTTGCTGGTGGAGCAGTTTTCTTTGGTTTTTTCGGAGCTCTTTTTCTAACTGAACGTAATTTTGGATGTTGCTTGTATATGTTAGATCTCAATATCCTGCGTACAGTTATTCTACACATGTTTTGTAGACACGGAAGATCAACTGCAGCTATAAAATATTAAAAGAAAATCCATAACAGTTCTTGATTTCATTTTAAAAGCATCATTAATATTCAAACAGTTTTCTTTATTTTTGTTGACAACTTTTTTCCTACAGCTACATAAAAATTACATTATAATATTATTGATTACAAAAGTTATTCACCCAAAAAAGTTGATTTTCCAAACTTTAAAATGAGGTTTATCAAGCATTTCAAATTTGATAAATATTGTAGAATCTATTTCTCCACATACCTGCCAACTTTTGAAAGTCCCAATGGGGGTTTTAGTGCGCGACAACAATTCTTTGCGACATATTTTGCATGTGCTGTTTTGTGGTCTAGAAAAAGTGTCATATTTGTATGTTGAGATTACAAGCCTTTTTCTTAAGTTTACTGATTCAGTAGAATAGATGAATCTGTAGCTAGAAGACCAGAATTTATTTTCTTGTGTTGGGATATTAAATGATTGTTGCATTTAAAATTTAAAATTATGCACAAAGAAGGACTTTTATCAGGTTGGGAACAACACCCCAAATGAGGGGTTACCCCTCAATGTAAGGACATTAAAAACCAATTTTAAGTACAAATGAGCATATATCTATATTATTTGAAGAAACTTTTCCTAAAGAATTATACATCTATCTGGTATTATATGGTCAAAACATGTCCAAGAATTTTGTAATGTTCCTGGATTTTTATCTTCTTTATCATGTTTATTATTAAAAATAATTGGACCCCTCATTTAGAAAAGACTTTTTAGTTGTTTCCAAATATAATGAATTTTCCCACTTTTAAGTTAAAAAATCTAAATTTTTCTTTTTTTCTTTTTTACAAGGATTTACAAATCCTTGTTTTTTACAACAGTAAAATGACCCCCTTGTCTTAATGTCTTGGTGACAGTCCCTCATTTAAGGGAGATACCCCTCATTTGGGCATTTGTTTCGAACCTGTTTGTTTGGTCCTTGTGAAAAATGAAGTACAAAATGTATAGTACATTGTACTTTAAATATTTTGCCCCATTTGGTAATTTAATTGAATACAAAAATGACATATGTTACAGCAAGTGTAATGTCAATAAATTAGTGAATAAACTACTATTTATTATCTTTATGGTAGTACTGCATCATTGAATTTTGTCAATCAGCCATGCTTTTATTCTTAAGCTGTTTAAGAACCTCCTTGCAGATGAAAATTAACCTTCCATGTTCACGATTTTACAATTCTGACTAACACACAGAGGAGGAATACAACACAAGTTCAAAATCTAGCATGTTAAAATAATCTTAAGAGAAAACGTTTTTGATTGGCTTATTAATTAGATCATGAGAAACACAGAATTTGATTGGCTGATCATGATTGTCTTCCCTCGGAAACAGTTCAAAAACGGGAACAATCGTATTTTTCGTGTAGATTTTCACCAAATCGTGTTTTATAGGTTTTTTCACGATCCTGATCGTGCAATCGTGACAAAGGGTCAAAATCGTGTAGTACACGCCTAAATCGTGAAAGTTGGCAGGTATGTCGCCAACGATTTTTTGAAAAATGCAGGTTGAAATATTCATTATAGATACGGTGGGAAATTATACATTAAAATTCAAACAATGTGTGGTTTATTAAATTTTTTATCAAACTTGTCAGAACTGATTGAAATGCATACAGAATTATTGATCCTGTAATTACTAAATACTAGCATAATTCAAAAGCATCATGCAATGTATTTGATACTAACGTAATTCTACAACATTATTAGCTTCCTCTTCTGTGGGGGCTATAAGAGTTGCAAATGATACTGACATCACATTCTTGGATTCCCATTTGGCCTCATCCACCCTCTTAACTTGTAACAACTGAAATATAAAGATCAAATTATTGAACATAAATACTGTCACATAAGCATGACCTATTGCTGCATAAATTTCTTAAAATTTTAAATATCATTCTTCAGATAATTTATGTGTTAATCTTGTGCAGGGTGTAGACTGTCACTGTAGAACCAATACAACATGTGTTGTTGGATAAACATGAGAGTCTATTATGAATCAACAATACATTCTCATGTTTTATCCATACTTTCAGAGCACATGTATAACTGTATTAAAGGTTAGCATGAGTCTATTTGGAATCAACAATCCATTCTCATGTTTTATCCATACTTTCAGAGCACATGTATAACTGTATTAAAGGTTAGCATGAGTCTATTTGGAATCAACAATCCATTCTCATGTTTTATCCATACTTTCAGAGCACATGTATAACTGTATTAAAGGTTAGCATGAGAGTCTATTTGGAATCAACAATCCATTCTCATGTTTTATCCATACTTTCAGAGCACATATATAACTGTATTAAAGGTTAGCATGATAGTCTATCTGGAATCAACAATCCATTCTCGTGTTTTATCCATACTTTTAGAGCACATGTATAACCGTATTAAAGTTTAGCATGATAGTCTATTTGGAATCAACAATCCATTCTCACATATATAACTGTATTAAAGGTTAGCATGACAGTCTATTTGGAATCAACAATCCATTCTTGTGTTTCATACTTTCAGAACATATATATAATTGCATTCAATATGTTTACATTCTGAATTTCTGAGTATACCTATTATATATGTCACTACACATAAGAGAAACCATGTATCTATGACCCTTTAAATTCTAACAGTGTTTTCTAAAATCCTAATTTTTTTCTCCCAAAACCCAAAATGAAGTTATATGTAGTTTTGTCATGTGTAGATAACATTGCAAGTTGTTATGATTTAACATGGGTTTTTTTATTAATATGAATTCGTTGATCCTTTTTATATAACTATAAATAAAAGTCATGTTAGTGAATTCTACTGATGGCTATTTTTCATACAATTGCCAGTGTTTAAAATCAAGAAACCTTCTTTAGCTAGAGTAATTACTTCTTTAAAGCATTTATTTTCAACATCAAACATTTTAGATGATTTCCAGTTTAATAATAAACAGGACACAATTTATTTCCTTGCGACATGTACCAAATATCCAACTTCTATTAAATTTCCACCTGTTTTAAGATCCTATTCTTAAATGTTTAATCACTAATATGCTGTTTATCGTGACCTTAACTGCATGTATAAAACCACTCTTAGGACTACATGTAAATTTAATCAGACCTGATCATTCAGGGGCATCACAAGAATTCCACCAACTTTTAACAAATTTTTGACATAATTTTCATGTTCTGGTGGACATGCTGCTCCACAGTACACACGGTCATACAACATCACATCTGTTGGTAGCTGAAGACAATTCCCATTCACAAAATATGGTTCACAGAATTCAAAGTCATCAAATAATTTTGATTTCTGTTTAAAATCTTCCACTCGATCCTGGGCATACTCCACAACATCTTCATAATATTCAACTCCATGATTTATGCCATATGGGCCTAAAATGATAATAAACAAGTTTTATTTTTATTTTTATTATCATTTTTTATTTATTACATGAAACATAAAAAAGTAAATATATTAAAATACAAGAAAGCCTATACATATGTATTGCAACTAACCTTGGAATTTCTAATCCAGGACAGGAACAGTTTTAGCATGAAGTGAAGAATGTGAAGAATGTGACCAAAATGTCACTTCTCAAAGGTGACTGTTGGCTTACATCTTCAGACTTTGCTAACAATTTTGTTTGTATGTCATTGTTGGTTTTTTTATTGTATTTATTATATACTTAGTAGTAAATACAGGTAAACTGTATATGTATGTGTAATACAAATGATGACAATGATGCTGTATCAACCATCCGTGATGATATCGATATCAGTCACGGTTGCAAAGGCTTTATCAAACCCCTAATCTGTATGACGTCACGTAATCTATATCATCACGGATGGTTGATACAGTCACGGTTACAAGAGCTTTATCAAACCACTAATATGTATTACGTCATGTCTCATGAAAAAGACACAAGAGAGATTAGTTGTACTTGAGGTACATGTATATGATATGGCTTTTTCAATATCAAACACTGTATCAACCCTCAACCAATATAATCCCCCGAGCAGAGCTCTTGGGATTATATTGGTGTCTCGGGTTGATACAGGTGTGATACTGAAAAAGCCATATGATATTCTCTATATAATCTATTGTTGAAGGAAGGGATAAATATAGATTCTACCACTGCATCGAGTGTGATACGATATTTATCCACTCGAGACAGTTAAATTTTCAAATTTAAAACGCGAGGCTCGCCAAGCGTTTTAAATATTTAAAATTTAACTGTCGAGAGTGGATAAATATCGTATTACACGAGATTTGGTGGTGGAATCTGTTTCTCTAATGATTTTCAAACAATACGCAGGCAAATTTATTCCTTCTTTTCGAATGATCTGCAAAAAGATGTGCTCTTTCTATGTGACGTCATCAGGCATGGTCGCCTTTTTTCATGCCGTCACAATAGGAAATTCAGAAGAAAGCAAGAAAATTCGACGTCATAATCGGATTTTAACCAATGAAGAACTGAGATCAAACGAACCACACGTTGATTAAATTTTTTTTATACAATGGGTGCAGAAAGGGATAAATTGACGAAGAATTAGAGAAATTGTATTATTTGAATATACAATAATTGTGAATTCTATTTTTTGGAGTTCAGAACATTTGTTTTCTACCTGTAGCTACTAGTGAACTTCTTGCTTATTTACTGTTCATATTGATTTCTATAATCAACAATGATTTCAATATTCAGTCAGTAAGAAAGCATCATTAGCTATGGGAATGATGGGAAGCCATAGTTAAAGTTTTTGGTAGTTTTGTCTATTGCTGAAAACACTTATTCAATTAATACTTTAATGATCAAATAAATAGGGAATGTGTCCATGGGACACATATGATGCCCCCGCTTGCATATCATATAAAGTTATAAAGGGACATAACTGAAGAACGGTAAAAGTGACACTACCCAAATTTGTACTTGATCTGAGTTTTGTGGTAATCAGTATTGTGTACAAGTTTCATAACATTTGGTTGAGGCAAACTTAAGTTAGAGAACGGAAACGAAAAATTCAGCATTTTTTCCATTTGTAAAGGGGCATAACTCTAGAACGGTTAAAGTGACGCCACCAAAATTCATACTTGATCTGTGTTTTGTGGAAATAAGCATTGTGTATAAGTTTCATAACATTTGGTTTAGGCAAACTAAAGTTAGAGAATGGAAACCAACTTTGGGACGTACGGACGTACAAGGGTAAAACTTAATGCCCCCGCTGACAGGGGCATAAAAATGTGCTTAGTATGTAATGATTTTTATTGTTTTAAGATCTCCCCTGAAATGTTACCTGTCTGATTCTTATTTATATATGGTAAAGACTCAGAGTTATATGCAACTTTGAACTTATTTTAAAACTCAGTTACGAGAACTCTTTGGTTATAGTCTATTTTAACACTATAATGACTGTGGAATATATATGTTAACCAATACCTCATATACTTATGAAAAGTCTACAACTTATCTTATTCCTTTACAGATATCTCAGAAACACAAAACCATTGTAAATTTATTCATAAATCAAAGAATCTGTTAATTGGGCAGGGGAGATAACTTAAGAATAAATAGGATCAATTTAGTGAGCTATTTAACATGGTAATAACTGCTAATCTACAAATTTTTACACTGCTTTGTAAAATATAAAGACAAAAAGAATGGTTACCCTATTTTTTTTTCTTTTTCCACTGGGCGCAGCTTTATACGACCGCAGAGGTCGAACCCTGAACAGTTGGGGCAAGTATGGACACAATATTCAAGCTTGATACAGCACTGAATTTGGATTGTGATTAAATATTTGACACAGCATAGGTTTCTGACACAGAATGAATGTGGTCTAAGAACTTAAAATTTTTTAATTTACCTATTCAAACCATATCATTATTATTTGCTTTTATATATAAATCAGAAGTAACCAATTTAAAATGGAAAATTTTCAAGAAAAAAAAAAGGAAACCCCCCCCCCCAAAAAAAATTTTTTTGAACCCCCTTATGATTCATCACCCCCAAACTCAATCCCAGCCTTCCCTTTGTGGCATGGTACCTTTCAGTACAATTTCAGAGATATCCATACACTTGAACACAAGTTATTGTCTGGAAACTAGAAAAATGCTTGTTTTTTGGCCCCTTTTTGGCCCCAAATTCCTAAACGTTTAGGGCATTTACCCCCAAACTCAAACCCAGCTTTCCCTTTGTGATATGGAACCTTATAGTACAATTTCATAAAGATCCATACACTTACACACAAGATATTGTCCTGAAACTAGAAAAATGCTTGTTTTTTGCCCCTTTTTTGCCCCTTATTCCTAAAATTTTGAGGCAATTACCCCATAAATCAATCCCAGCCTTCCCTTTGTGGTATGATACCTTGCAGTACAATTTCAGAGAGATGCATACACTTGAACACAAGTTATTGTCTGGAAACTAGAAAAATGCTTATTTTTGGCCCCTTTTTGGCCCCTTATTCCTAAACATTTTTGGGCAATTACCCCCAAACTCAATTCCAGCTTTCCCTTTGTGATATGGAAGCTTGTAGTACAATTTCAGAAAGATCCATACACGTACACACAAGTTATTGTCATGAAACTAGAAAAATGCTTGTTTTTTGCCCCTTTTTTGGCCCCTAATTCCTAAAATTTTGTGGCAATTACCCCCAAAATCAATCCCAGCATTCCCTTTGTGATATGAAACCTTGTGGTACAATGTCAGAGAGATCAATACACTAACACACAAGTTATGTCTGGAAGTTACAAAAATGCTTATTTTTGGCCCCTAATTCCTTAACTGTTGGTACCATAACCCCAAAAATCAATCCCAACCTTCCTTTTGTGGTATTGAACCTTATGGTAAAATTTCATAGAGATCCATTCACTTAAACTAAAGTTAGAGTGCGAAAACCAAAGTGTCTTCGGACGACGACGACGCCAACGTCATACCAATATACGACCGCAAATTTTTTTTGCGTACTGAGGACAAACCTGGCAAAAATGTGGTACACCTAAAATTGGTGTAAATACAAATAACACTTCACTGACCAGATGTACACATATAAAATAAATTGCTTTGCCGAGCGCAGCTGGATACGACGGCAGAGGTCCAACCCTGAACAGTTGGGGCAAAAATGGACACAATATTCGCGCTTGATACAGGTCTGAATTTGGATTGTAATTAAATATTTGACAAATTATAGGTTTCTAACACAGAATAACTGTAGTCAAAGAACTTAGAATTGGTTATATGATTTGAATTTATATTCAATGTTTTGCTTTTGTGCAATACACTATGCTGTTGCAAATTGACCCCCCCTTTTTCCAAAAAAAAAATTCTTTCCTTCAAGATATGGTCATAATCTCAATTCAAATTTCCAATGGAGTTTGCAATTACCCATTTAAATACATCATAAAAGTCTTAAAATAGAAAATGACATTCATAATCATGGCTAAAATTAATATTCCTTAATCAGCATTTTTAAATAGTAACTTCTTAAAATAAATTGACAGCTAATCACCTCAAGACAATACAACATTTCTTTATACATGATTTAAAAACAGTGTAAGGGAGGTAATCCAAACATAAAATTGTACATTAACCAGGAAACCCTTGTTTTTCCCCCTAATTCCTAAACAGTTTGAGCCATAACACCCCAAAGCCACAATCCTAACCATCCCTTTGTGGTATGGAAACTTGTGGTATAATTTCAGAGAGATCCATACACCGTTCCACAAGTTATTGTCGGGAAACTAGAATAAACTGCTTCGCTGAGCGCAGCTGGATACGCCCGCAGAGGTCCAACCCTGAACAGTTGGGGCAAAAATGGACACAATATTCAAGCTTGATACAGGTCTGAATTTGGATTGTAATTAAATATTTGACAAATTATAGGTTTCTGAATAAATGTAGTCAAAGAACTTGAAATTGGTTATATGAAGTGAATTTATATTCAATTAAAGATTTTTTTGCTGTTGTGCAATACACTGTGCTGTTGCGCAATACTTAGTAAATCTGTTGTCAGACTATAAACAAATAAAATTTATAAAATTCTAAAGGGAGCTTACATCAATAGATATAATCGATTCACCAAAGTTTCATAAGAATTGCTGAAAGCATTTTTGAGTTATTGTCTGAAAACTGGAAAATCCCCCCTTTTTTAATGAATAAAACCCCATAACTCGGAAATGTAAAATCTAAAATTTATAAAATTCTAAAGGGAGCTTACATCAATAGATATCAACAATTCATTAAAGTTTCATGAGAACTGCTGAAAGCATTTTTGAGTTATTGTCCAAAAACTGGAAAATCCCCCTTTTTTTTATGAATAAAACCCCATAACTTGGAAACGTAAAATCTAAAATTTATAAAAATCAAAAGGGGGCTCACTTCAATAGATATAAACAATTAAACAAAATTTCTTGCAAGTTGGTGAAAGCATTCTTGAGTTATTGTCCGAAAACTGGAAAATCCCCCTTTTTTTAATGAATAAAACCCCATAACTTGGAAACGTAAAATCTAAAATTTATAAAAAATGAAAGGAAGCTCATGTCAATAGATATAAACAATTCACAAAAGTTTTATGCAAATTGGTTAAAGCGTTTTTGAGTGAATGTCCGACATGTTGACGACGGACAGACAGACGGACGAACACAACGGTATACCATAATACGTCCCGTAAACGGGCGTATAAAAATGCTTATTTGGGCCCCTTTTTGGCCCCTTATTCCGAAACTGTTAGGACTATAACCCCCAAAATCAATCCCAACCTTCCTTTTGTGGTTATAAACCTTGTGTTTGAATTTCATAGATTTCTATTTACATTTACTAAAGTTATTGTCAGGAAACCAAATGTCTTTGGACGATGCTGACGACGAGGACGTGATACCAATATACGACCGCAAAATTTTTTGCGGTTGTATAACAACATTAAATGAATAAGAAAACAGAGTTCCAATGTCCCCCTGCATTGCAAATATTTTGTCTGCGATAACTGAAAAAAAAAAGTTTTTTTTTGTTCTTTAAATCTTTTTATAAATGTCTTAGAGCAATGAAGGCTTGAGAGCAATTGGAATGCAATTTTCCATATAATTAATATTTCCAAGGGGCATAATATTAAAAATATTTGATCAGCACTGATTTTCGAAAATTGTCAAGAGACAATGCAGATATAAACCTCTGATATAAGCTTCATAAAAATCTGGCAAGAATTGTACCCATCAGAGTGCTTGCTAACAATACAATTTTCCATATAATGAGTATTTCCAAGTGGCATAACTCTTTCAAAAATAATTGATCAGCCTTGATTTTTGAACTAGTCCAAGATATTGCTTATATAAACCTTTGATATAAATTTCATAAAAATCTGGCAAGAATTGTACACATGAGAGCGCTCACAATGCAATTTTTCATATAATCAATATTTCCAAGGGGCATAACTCTTTTCAAATAATTGATCAGCACTGATTTTCAAGCTTGTCCCAGACATTGCTGATATAAATTTCCTAAAAATCTGGCAAGAATTGTACACATGAGTGTGCTAACGATGAAATTTTCTATATAATTAATATTTCCAAGGGGCATAACTCTTTTTAAAAATAGTTCATCGGCACTAATTTTTACACTCATCAGAGACATTGCTGATATAAATCTATGATATAAATTTTATAAAAATCTAGAAAGAATGGTACACATGAGAGCCCTAACAAGACCGGATGGACAGATTGATGGACGCCTGGTATTTCTATGCCCCCCCAACAATGTGTCACGCGGGGGACAAAAAGTAGCAGCTTTTACCTAATATCAGTCCAACCATTGAGCTTAGATAACCAGTTCCACTTCCCAGATTCAGAAAAGATAGCCCTGGTTCTAATGACAATGACTCCATCACTTCTGAGTAGATACATGGAGCAGACATATGCAAATGGCCAAATTTCCATGCCAAGTCTTTGTAAGCACTGCCTTTGTGATCTTCAGTGTAATAGTGTGCTCTATCTACTGCACGGAACACTCTCTCCACTAATGGTGTCTTTATGTAATCTGCTTCTACTAAGTTGTCAATCAATTCATCATTATCCTCTCCACGACTCACAGCTCCTCCCATTGTATGTCGGTTCAACTGAAAGACAAATAAAAACATCAAGATGTAGGTCTTAACATTCACTTTTGGTTTTTCAACTTGTTTATTTTTTTACCCTTAAAAATGATATTTTTAAATTATTCAAAATCATCCTACAAAATATGATGATTCTACAACCAGTAGTTCAATAGTTTTCTAATTAGTAACCATTACTGACAGACAGATGGACAACTTGATAATTATAAGCTTTCACTAATAGTCTATAAGGAATCATGTCAGGCAAATAAGCTGTGGTTGAGACATACAAAAAACTAAAAGATCATGGTAGGGATTTGCTCATTGTACATGTAGACCTGTAATTGTTCACATATTTATCCTTTGTTCTCATTTTACATACAGATATCAACAGATAATAAAATAAACTGTTGACACAGAGATATGTCTAGTCTGTACATGTATGTAATTTTGATAGTATAATGCAAATGTTGAAAAATAATGGCTACGCTTCTATGGAAGGGAATATCCGCCATAATTATATATTTCTTAATTTGTAAAATTTAATTTCTTAATTTGTAAAATGTATTTTTTCTATACGTTACATGAATTTCTATATTTCTTGATTTGTGAAATGTAACTTCTTAATGTGCAAATGCAATTTCTTGATTTTAACATATTTTCTTCGTTTGTTACATGAAAGTCTACATTACTTAATTTATGAAATGATATTTCTTTATTTGTTTAATTAAATTTCTTCATTCTAAATCGTAACTACATGTATGAAATTATAAATTTCTTAATTTGTAAAATGGAATTTCTAGGTTTGCATAAGATGTATATTTGTTTTTCAATTGAAATATTAAAACTCTCCATCTATGAAATGTAAATTCTTGTTTTGAGTCACGTTTTTGTAAATTGTGTCAATGTAATTGTTATCGCTGACATACAATGATAAGATCCATTTCTCAAGAAAAACTACCAAGTTACAAATCAAGAATGAAATAGTCCCACAATATTCTGCACAAGGTCGCTGTTATCGCTACCGGAAGTAGCACATTTAAATTGAAAGGTAAGTATCGCCATTTCCTCTTTCATGCTGCTACCTGTATTACGTATGCCTATCAATCCTCAAAGGGTAATTTGATTTTGAACGGGAGTGGGGGGCCACTGATTTATTTCCTGAATACATTAAAACCAATGTTGATAACAGGCACTAGTTGCTATCAAAAAGGGGGGTCCAACTATCATTATAAATAGACCACTTTCTTGTTCACCATTTTGCACTGATTTTACTGAAAACTGGTTCGCTGCCATTGATTTGTACCAAAGAAGTTAATAAATGTTTTACTATAAAAGTTATGTGACCCCATAAGTACATTAAAATGTTGTCCATGGACTAAATGATAAAAGTAATATATTTTAAAAATACCTACACTAGGCTTAATAAAGTAACTAGCAACTTTCTAAATTGTCTACACATTGCTCAATTGCTCAACGTTGAGCAGACGATGATCTTACACCAATTGACCCCCATGACCCTGATTCTAATTGATGAACAAATTAGAAAGTGGTGTATAGAAATATTCTATTTATATTGATAGTCAAACCCCCCCCCTTTTGATAGAACCAAGTGCCCGTCATCAACATCTGTTTTAATGTATTCAGGTAATAAATCAATGACCCCCACTATCGTTCAAAGTCAAATTACCCTTTGAGGATTGATAGGAATACGTAATACAGGTAGCAGCATGAAAGAGAAAATGGCGATATTTACCTTTTCAATTTAAATGTGCTACTTCCGGTAACGATAACAGCAACCTCTTGCAGAATATTGTGGAACTATTTCATTCTTGATTTGTAACTTGCATTTACATCTCACAGATAGAGTTTAAACATTTTGATTGAAAAACAAATATATGTCCCATATAAACATGACAAACCTAGAAATTCCATTTTACAAATTAAGAAATTTATAATTTCATAGTTACAATTAAGAATGAAGAAATTTAATTAAACAAATAAAGAAATATTATTTCACAAATTAAGAAATGTTGAATTTCATACAACGAATGAAGAAAATATTTTAACAAATTAAGAAATTGCATTTACACATTAAGAAGTTGCATTTCACAAATCAAGAAATGTAGAAATTCATGTAACGTATGGAAAAAATACATGTTACAAATTAAAAAATGTATAATTATGGCGGATATTCCCTTCCATACACATGATACACTTCATCATGTTAACTATATATGCAAAACTTTCAAAGTCAATGAACCAACCCCCAAAATCCATACCTGCTTGGGAATTTGAATAATTATTGTCATTCCACTTTGTATTACATACGTTATGATTTTACTCAATTGATTAAAATACAGACCGTGTGTCCACTCTTCATTACAAGGCTTGAAAGCAAAGTGTGTACCCATGATTTGCTAGACTAATTGTGTTTTACTGTGTCATCCATCTGAGAAAATTTAGAAATATCAGGGTAAAGAGGTTCTAAGACGGACAGTTTTCCTAAACTGACCTAATAACAAATTTTAACATGTAAACTATGCAAAAGTTTCAAAGTCAATGAACCATGATCGAGGGGTGTAAGGCCATATCTATACTACTAAAAAACAAAGTCCAATTTGTTAGCCGGCATGAGGTAAAAACAATGAATCAAAGAATAGAACTTTATATATAACTAGTATAGGACAATGGTGTTGATTAAAAATTACACCATTCCAGGCCCTTTTGTTTTCCACATAATTTATATTATCAATAACTAACAAGTTCCGGGTCGAATCTGATTGTGATACCAATGACCTGTTAGTGACCTTCTGCTGTTGTCTGTTCTATGGTCGGGTTGTTGTCTCTTTGACACATTCCCCATTTCCATTCTCAATTTTAGTATATGTATGTATGTATGTCTGTATGTTACTGTGGATTCATTTATTTTCGTGGGTATCAATTTTCGTGGATTGTGGAAAACTTGTATTTACGTGGATATTCGATTTCGTGGTTTTGCCAATCTCTGCATATAAAGCCTATAGAACATTTGCTATTCGTTGAACATTTAAATTCGTGGTTCACCTGTACCCACAAGACCCACGAAAATTGGTATCCAACGAATAATAATGAATCCACAGTATGTATCTTCCTCCTTTATGAAAAGCACCACCATGGGTTAGGGTGTAAAGGAGAACATTTAACACACTGTATTGGTACAGATTAAATGTGAGCATTTTCCTACCCAGTTTCCCAGTCTGGCCATGACGGGTTTTACTACCAGTCACATGTAGTTTCCGGTTGTAGTTAGAAAACCAGGATGGGTTCAAACAGAAAGATTTTGATAGCAGAGAAACTGTTCACCTTATACTAGGACTATAATACTAATACTATACTATAATTATAAAAGCCAGTATTGGTAACTACGATGTACCCATACAGATAGTCCCAGCCTTATAATTGGCATGATTTTATCAGATGACAATAGGAATACTAAACATGATGATCCAGGCTAAAAATAAGGCGTAGGTACTTTAATTCAGTCACTGACCCGGGATGTCGCTGGTGTGTTCTAGTAATATTAATGGAAATGAGATGTGATAATACTTATACAACAGCATACCAAATATCATTGACTTACATGATTGTAGCATAAGTGGTTTCCCTTAGACTGACCTAATCACACACTTTGACGTGTAATCTATGCATATTAAAGTTTCAAAGTCAATAGACCATAACTGCAGGGAAGGGACCAAATAATCCTCATGGAAATGAGATGTGCCAATGCTAATAAAACTGCATACCAAATACCATTAGTGGTTACTTTAAATCACAAACTTAAACAGATTGTTGGTGCTGCGGATGCCACCGGCCTGATCAGAAACAACCTCCAAGTCTGACCTCTGCAACTTGGTCATTGCAAAACAGAAATGAGCAAGTGTCCAGCCACTGCAAAATTCATTGATAACACTTGTCAACTGCATCTGCAGCTTTCTTCCCTCACCCTAAATATTTTTCTATGGCTATAACCATAACAATGTACATTTTTGTCTTCTTAATTTTGAAAAAAGTGAAACTTTTCAGCTTTACCATTATGTTTGCTTGGAAATATAAATGCTAAACTTGACAATTACTGACACCTTTATTTTGACGTCTTCAAGGAATGCATGAACTCATTAAACAATGATGACATCTTCAAGTGATCAGCTGTTCTATTAGAACATGACCTATACTACCTGACAGCAAATTTCCAATTCAAAATGTTAATTATGAGACACCAGAAGAAGTGCATAAATAATCGAATAATTATAATGCATTTACCTCTTTGCAATAAAAGATGTATTTTAAAGAATATCAGGAAGCCATTGCTAGATCAAAACAACAACAAAGTAAAGTGTGACGTCATACATTTTTTACTGATGTTTCTTCGGATATCAATGGTTTTCACTGTTAATTTGCAGGATAAATCTTGAGGTTTCTAAATGTTTCTTTTTATAACCTTTGAACTAATCTAACATAATAAAAAAAAAGAGAGATAAGATAATTCGGGCACAAATTTCTTATTAAAACGTAATATTAATGAGAGTAAACGTTTATTTATTATTTTCAATTCAAAGAGAAAGTAGAACATTTACAGTGATAGTGGAATAGGTAAAGTCTAAAGATATTACGATCTGGGTTTTTTTCGGAAGACATCAAGCTTTTTCGTCTAAAATGAAGGACGGAAAATGGCGGAAATATCCGGAAAACACGGACATTTCAAAATATAGGGAGTTAGAAAGAACAGCAACGAAAACTAATTGGAGGATATTCGGTTTTACTCCCGTTATTGGTAGAATATTGAACTTCCTGTTGGATGGTAAGACAAATTTGTGTTAAAAAACACACAAAACTTTACGAAAAAAGAAATTTACTACGCAAAAATTGTTAACGCAAAATTTAAAGATAATTTCTTTCATTTAATGAAAATGGAAGTACTAATTAATTGTTTATTTCAAATTAATATGTGTTTGCGTCGCTACTTTTAGTTTTCGATGACATTTTCGCTTCCAAAGTGCTTTTAAAAAACGTTAATGCGCTAATTAAATTGATATCTGAAATATTGCACTGAAAAGCATGTATATTTCAATGTTTGTTTTCAAGCAGAATTGTGTGAAGATGGGTTATGCGCTGATTCTTTTACTTTTGTCGGTTGTTTTCATGTTTTTGGGTCTCCGGCGGAACATAAATTTTTAAGCGAAAACGAGGCTGAGACATTGAAAAATATTTTTCAACTTTATGTTCTTGTTTGAAGCATAATTAAACTAAAACCAATCAAATACAATGTTTGATATGCCAAAAAGTGGTCTTTTCTTCCCTTTTTGATATGAAAAACAATTGCAACAACAGTTCTTTCGCACATGAGTTTTCATTACATCTGAAAATAAGGATTATCAAGTTCTAAAATAAATCTTTAAAACTAATTAATTTAGATACTCAAATAGTAAAGCAGCATACAATAATATATAATGAATTATACATTTAAACAGTTTGGTCCTTCCTTTTAAATCTGAAAACCAATTGAGTTCTTTGTGCATTTTTTTTTTTTTTTTTTTTTATTATTTCTGAAAAGAGGATTATCAAGCTCTAAAAATAATTGTGTAAAACATTGAAGTTATTTTGATACTCAAGTAATATGCTTACTAGAAGGCTAAGAAAAATTTTATAGAAAGGAAAATATTTGAAATTGTGTTTATAAATATCAAATATTCTTGCATATTCAATGTTTTCTTGTGAACAGATTATCATCAAACTGGTCCACAAATAGCTCATACAATGTAGTTAATGTAAAATCATTGTTTCATCCTTGCAACATACATTTATTGCAGTGAATATTGATTTTAGCATGTTTAGATTATGTTTGGTATTTTTGCATGTTAAATCTCAATGTTGACATTTTCTTCAGGTGAAATACTCTGTTTTATTCAAAATTCAACAATATAGAATAACCTACTAAATAATATGGAATAATACAATTTGTACGTTTCAAAGCTCAAAACCTCTGTTAAAGGCTGGTGTAATTGCAAAAATTAATTAACCAAATTAGATAGATATGTTTTTATATTTCCTTTATGTTAAACATGTTAAAATTTATGCTTTCTGATGAATTGTCAATTCAATCACACTGAAAAAAGGACTGTTGCGGCAAATTAAATTAAATATCTTCTCTCATATAAAATTAATGCACATTGGTTCGAAATTTTTTTTTTTTTTGTTTAATTTTCTACCTACATAGGAAAAAATCTTTCATCTATGTTGTTTCCTTGTTCCTAAAATGTGTGCAAAATATCTTTTAAATAAATTATTTACCCTTTTCTAATTTTTACAAGTACATGTGTACTTACAAAAATAGTTTGATGTCAAAAATTGTCATTTTTGCTCAGTTAGTTTAAATTTTTCTACCTAAAGGGACTGAGCTTTACATGCTATGACATACATGCTTTTAATTTTTATACGACCGCAAAAAATTTTTTGGGATCGTATAATGGTATGATGTCGTCATCGTCTGCGTCGTCTTCCGAAGTCACATTGGTTTCCAGACAATAACTTTAGTTTAAGTGAATGGATCTCTATGATATTTTTTAAGAAGGTTCAATACCACAAAAGGAAGGTTGGGATTGATTTTTGGGGATGATGGTCCCAACCGTTTAGGAATTAGGGGCCCAAAAGGGGCCAAAAGAAGCATTTTTCTAGTTTCAGGATAATAACTTGTGTATAAGTATTTCGATTGCTCTGAAATTGTACCACAATGTTTAATACCACAAGTAGAAGGTTGGGATTCATTGTAGGGGTTACGGGGCCAACAGTTAAGGAATTAAGGGCCAAAAAGAGGCAAAAACAAGCATTTTTTTAGTTTCCAGACATTAACTTGTGTGTAAGTGTATGGATCTCTCTGACATTGTACCACAAGGTTCCATATAACAAAGGGAAGGCTGTGATTGAGTGTGGGGTTAATTGCCCCAAACAAGTAGGAATTAGGGGCCAAAAACAAGCATTATTCTAGTTTCCAGACAATAACTTGTGTTTAAGTGTATGGATCTCTCTGAAATTGTACTACAATGTTCCTTACTACAAAGGAAAGGCTGGGATTGAGTTTTGGGGTTATTGCTCCAAAGGGGGGGGGGGGTTTCCAATTTTTTAAGGGATTCATATTTTTTTTTCAAAATTTTTCAAATTGCAAATTTTTGAAAAGTTTCAAGAAGAAATCTTCAGTTGCACAGTATTGCGCAATAGATTTGTATGATTTTTGACCACATTTATTTGTGTCGGAAACCTATGTTATGTCAAAAATTTGATCACAATCCAAATTCAGACAATATCAAGCTTGAATATTGTGTCCAAATTTGCCCAAACTGTTCAGGGTTCGACCTCTGCGGTCGTATCAGGCTGCGCTCAGCGAAGCATTTTATTAAGACTGCTGTTGTTGTCTCAACATCTTAGCATGTTTGCCTTGAATGAAGAGAGGTCATTGGTTGATCCCTGACCAAATTTCAAACCAATTAAAAAAATATTGGTATCAACTGCTTTCTCACTAAGCATGAATGTTAAAATATTAAAACTTCACATCTTAATTTTTTATTGTAATATTATACTATCATGTGAATGAATTTTTCATTTATGAGTAAAGGATAACTTTATTTGGTATATTGGATGCTGACACGGTCTTCATGTATGTCAGACACAGGTTACCTGACCTTGATCTTATATCATTGATCAGTTTCAAGGTTAATGTTTCAGGGTTAGGTCCATATTATTAGATACTATTACTCATAGTAAAACTTTCATGTAAAAGGAGTTCGACATAAATTCAATTATGATCATTAAACATGGTCCTACAAATTCCTATATTTTAGCAATTTGCACAAGGTCATGTTTTTCCCTGACTGTTAATGACATCTTTACACTAAATCCAATGGATGTTTAATGTGAACTGATTGATATTTTAGTCTAAGATACATGACTTTTAGCTCACCTGGCCCATCTTACCAGAGTATCATGGCTGAAATCGTCAGTCAACTTTTAATTGCAGCTATTGCCATTTAATGACAATTTTTAACAAATTTTTGTGTTTTCTCCTCATATCTTAAAAACTATAGTAGATTTGATTTTTGATTTTTGGTGTTTTAACACCACTTTTAAGCACAGCTTTTGGGCTATTTCGTGGTGGCCAGTTTTTATTGGTGGAGGAAGCCGGAGTGCCCGGAGAAAACCATGACCTTCGATTGGAAAACTGACAATCCTAGTCAATTAAGATTTGAGTCGAGTGCACCTGCACGAGCGGGGTTCGAACTCACAACCTCAGTGTTGACTGGCTAGTGATTACAGTAGTAACTACTTAGACCACTTGGCCACCGAGGCCCCTAACTATAGTAGATAAATAAAAACTTAAATAAGCATAAATGATCGGCCAGACCACATCTATTCTAAATTCTAATGACCGAAATCGTCAGTCGACTCATTACTGGAGTTATTGCTCTTTATTGACAATTTTTACCCATTTTTATTGGGTTTTTTTAAAGTTCTTATGTTGACTACTAACATATTTTAAGTTTATATTGTGATGTTATGCTTTGCAGAAAAAAAATGAATCCAATATCAGGGGGAGATAATCCATCTGCTGCTAAGAAGTTACGAACAGATAGTAATGATGAAGCAGCAGTATCTACAATGGGTATCATTCCAACCACAACCTGTTTACAATCCAGACCTATCAGTCTTACTATAGCCAATGGTAAGTGTTAACTAGGGGTATCATTCCACCCACCACCTGTTTATAGTCCAGACCTATCAGTTCTACTATAGCCAATGGTAAGTGATAACAAGGGGTATCATTCCACCCACCACCTGTTTATAGTCCAGACCTATCAGTCTTACTGTAGCTAATGGTAAGTGTTAACAATGGGTATCATTCCACCCAAGACCTGTTTACAGTCCAGACCTATCAGTCTTACTATAGCCAATGGTAAGTGTTAACAAAGGGTATCATTCCACCCACCACCTGTTTACAGTCCAGACCTATCAGTCTTACTATAGCCAATGGTAAGTGTTTACAATGTCGACAATGGGTATCATTCCACCCACCACCTGTTTGCAGTCCAGACATATCAGTCTTACTATAGCCAATGGTAAGTGTTAACAATGGGTATCATTCCACCCACCACCTGTTTATAGTCCAGACATATCAGTCTTACTATAGCCAATGGTAAGTGTTAACAAGGGGTATCAACCCTCTCAATATGTATATTCACTCCAGTCATACTATGGGTAATATTATGTAGACTTTATTTTTTCCACTATTGCTTTAAATACATTTTCTACTTTCTGTTTGACTATCATGTCAAGAAGATATCATAAAGCTTTGCCATAAACAATGCGGAAAAAAGTATTTGGTGAAATACTTAAAGTAGACTTGTTTTAATTTGAATAAGTAAAATAAATTATGAAACATTAAACAATATTAAATAAAAACAAACACAATAGATAATGAAGTCACAGCAGTAGAATTGTTATTATTTTAACAATAAGTGGAGTGGAACAAACAATCAATTAATCAATCAATCAATCAAAAATTATAAGTGCATTTTGGCCAAAAAGAAGGACAACTGTAATACTTTTTTTATTGGTCTTTGAATAATATGCAATGTAGTTTTGAAATAAGTGTTAAATCAATTTTGTTTTTAAATAACCTCCAAATTGAATTGAACTTCTGCAATATCCCTTAAGTTTTTGTATCGCCTTGACAGAGTCAAAAGTGAGACTTAGGTATGCTATTTCTGACATCGTCAGCGGTGTCATCAGAGTCAATAATATTAGTTTGTGATTAGGTCAGGTTAAGGGGAACCACTAGTGGTAGCTCAATGATATTTGGTATGTAGAAGCATTAGCATTGGCACATCTCATTGGCACCCCCTTCAGTCATGGTTTATTGACTTTGAATGTATTGCATGGTTTACATGTTAAGTTTGTGATTATATTAGTATAAGAGGAACTACTAATGTTAAGTCAATGATATTTGGTATGTAGTTGTTTTAGCATTTGCAAGTATTTTATTCATGGTGATTATATGACCCCACCCCATCAGCATGGTTCATTGACTTTGAAACTTTTACATTGTTTACAAATTAAAGTTTGTGTTTAGGTTATATTTATTGTAAAGGGAACCACTTATGATAAGTCAATGGTATTTGGTATGCAGTTTTATAAGCATTGGCATTTCTTATTTCCATTGGGTTATTTGTTCCTTCACCATAAATCATAGTTCATTTACTTTAAATGTTTTGCATAGTTTACATGATATTAAAATATTGCCATTTGGATTAAATATTTGCATTATGCTATCAAAATTACCAAACAGAGATAACAGTTTATTATTTGAAAATGACTACTTCATATCTGGACCCCATTTGAAAAAGTTTTTAGTAATGCAAACATTGCCTCCATTAAAATCTGAGATGTCACTGTAAATGTATGCATATCAAACCATCTGATAAATGTTTGTCTAAACCAAAGCCAACAGAACATCACATTAAGGAAAGGAATATAAACAGTGGATATAACAGAAATTGAAAAACTGTCCTGTTTATTATAAATGTTTACTGTATTGACAGAAAATATATTTATATGCTTATCATGCAAAAATATATACCCCGATATAACTATTGTTATTTTTAACTGCTATAATATAGTAGCTGCATTGCCACTTCTGAACTTTATATAATTATTTCACTTCATATCACATAATTCATTTTGTTATAGCCTTGTATCTCAGATATCTTAGTTTCAGTTTTCATGGTTATGGCACAGATTCAGTCTTTCAAGTAATGATCAATCAAAGTTTCTTCTTTTTTGTTTCCATCCACTTTGGACAAGTGAATACATGCATGAACTAGATTTAACTCATCCATATTTATATCCATTGATGCTGAAAATACTTAATCTGGGGGGAAAAAAAATCATGACGAGTTTCATTCTTTTATATGAGTCCATAACTGCACTTCTATGGTATCTCCATAAATACATACTCATATGCATGTTTACAGGAATGATAAACTGGAAGACAACAACAGAGCATGCTGCTATTCCTGTTTCCATGGTGAAGGGTAAACCTCTTTTTTATATTTTTCTGTATATTTAGTTAAGATTGAAACAAATTATTTTATCACACCCCTGTATGCAGTTTTATGCCAAGTTATAGTTCAAAGACAATTCTCTTCCTTAAATATATAATTGACAGAAATTTTAGAAATTTGTAAAAAATCAGTTGAACATTTTGAAAAGGCTTGACTCATTATATCAACACAAAACAATCTAAGAAAACAACTAAAGACTTAAGACACAAACATGATGCAAACTTTCTAAATTATATGCCAAATTAGGGTTTTGACCCAGATTTCTCAGTTCATTGATTGGGTTAAAGTTTTGGTTGACAGATTTTTTCATGTGAATAAGTTGGTCGGGTGGTAAAAAACTATCTTTCAAGAATTCCAAACATTATTTCTCAGCTGTTTTAAACATACAATGCATGTCAACCTCAGTATAAGTTTTGTTAAAAGGGGGTGTGATCATGGACCATCAGGAAATAAATTATCATTTCACAAACCAAAATTATCAGCTACATTTTTAATTTCTGTTAAATGCTCCTACTCAGATATTTTTATTCATATTTTGGGGATGATTATTTGTTAGGGTTGGCAGGAAAAATCAGGAAATGTCAATTATTTTTTCTGAAAATGGGGAAAGTAGTGTCAGGTCGGTGTAAACTAACAAATTAAAAACCCCTCAACTAAAGACACATATAATTTATTCTTGTTAGAAAAGAGATGTACGTTTATATAGTGCATAGGGAAACAATTTTGATGTAAACTTCAACTTGGCATATAACTGCTGTAAAGCATGCTGGTTGGTGTTATTCAGTTATTCATTTTGACATTTTGATGACAACACTTCATTTCTGTTTCTTTTCTTTATTTGATTGACTCCTTTAAAATTATGTGGTTTTGTGGGATGTGGTCATAATTATGTTCTTTTATTTTTCTTATAATTATTAACTATAAGACTTGTTTATGTACAGCATCTGTAATGTTAGATATTGCTCAAATTTTGATATCATCCCTCATCTACAGTCACAGTGCTTAACTAGATGTTATAGTATTAGGTTGATAACTTCCAAATGAAATTTTAGACAAGTTGGTAAAATATGATACCACAGAAAAGACACATAATTGTTTATTGTTTGACAAAATAAATGAATTGTCATATTTCTATTTCGACAAATATTTAGAGCAATTCAATTTGTATGGTCCCACTGATAGATGATGGAGGTATTACATTTTTTTGCATGCTCACCTTGAGTGCTGGTGGTCATGGATTCAATCTTGACTGGGTTAAACCAAGACTTGAAAATTTGTATTTGCTGCATCTCTGCTAAACACCCTTTTTTCCCTGAAGAATTTTTATATTCTTATTTTGCATAGGATATTTCAATAAAATGTTGGGAATAATCTAACTTTAATGAAATAGAACTTTGAAAAACATGGTGATCTCGATAAAAAAATAAATCATCATATGTAAAATAATAATGCATGGCGAAATAAATTATTTCAAAAATTTTCATCCAGAAAATTCATATCAGATATTCGTAATTCCGTAGTATAAACTTTTATACTTGTATACAAGTTTTATGCAGTTTGATACAGATTTTTTAAGGCAAAATGGATCAACTGAGTTACCATATTGAAGTGTCAAAGGGCATTATTATGGAGTAAAGGATAGGCATCATTATTATGGAGTAAAGGGGGATCATCTCAAAGCATCATTGTGGAGGAGAGAGAGAGACGTCATTATTGTAGAAAGGTTAAGAGTAAGAGCAAAAACTAGTTAGCTTAGTAGGGTGACTTGTCCTCCTGTGGACTGTAACCATGTGAACTAGTGCATTAAAATTCCAGTTCAGAGTATCAGTCTAGTACAAAGCTTTGTATCTTATCTGGTGACTTAAGCCCTTTTCACCTGATTTTTATAGTTTGTTCATATATTGTACTGTTACACCACTGTCCCAGGTTAGGGGGCGGGTTGGGCGCCCACTAACATGTTTAACCCCGCCACATTCTGTATGTGCCTGTCCCAAGTCAGGAGCCTGTAATTCAGTGGTTGTCGTTTGTTGCTGTATATCATATTTGTTTTTCGTTCATTATTCTGTACATAAATCAGGCCGTTAGTCGTTTGAATAGTTTTACATTTGTTATTTTGTGGCCATTTATAGATGACTATGCGGTATGGGCTTTGCTCATTGTTGAAGGCCGTATGGTGACCTATAGTTGTTAATTTCTGTGTCATTTGGTCTCTTGTTGAGAGTTGTCTGATTGGCAATCATACCACATCTTCTTATTTTTATATTCATGTTCATATTTGTGTGCGAGAACTTAATACTAGTATTTGAAGGTCTCAATTCAGGGACTAAACTTGACGATTTCCCAGACCGGAATCGACCAGATTTTTCGGTTGAGTGATTATATACATTTTGTAAGTCCTGATGGGAGACAATTTTTGTGGGAAGTGTACAGTAGTAAAACCATGTAGCCATGCCAAAATTTATCGTTTATTTCCGGCTGTATAAATATTAATTTTGTTATACAAGTTGTGAAAGATATATAAAATTCTGTATCCAAACTTTGCGCACTGTAACTACATGTTTAGAAAAAACTTCAAAATACATACCTTTATTAGTATATGAAAACTAATGTATCAATATAAAAACTGATTGGGTCCCTTTAAAAAATATTTGGAGCCCAGTTGACCCCTCGAGAAAATCCCTACAATTCCATGAGGATTATATGGCCCTATTAACTATTCATCTTTTCCATAGTTTACATGTTAAAGTTTATCCTTAGGGCATTTTAAAGGAAACCTCTCGTGATAAATATATGGTATTTTGTATGCAGTTGTATATTGGCATTTCTCATTTCTTCAAAGTTTATTTGGCACTGTACCTCAAGTGATGTTTCATTGACTTTGAATGTTTTGGTAGTTCTCATGACAAAATATTGCTATTTTGATCTCAGTTTGCATTATACTATCAAAATTACATAAAGGCGAGACATTTCTCTGTCAACAGTTTATTGTCTCGCCTTGACAGAGTAAAAAAACGAGACATAGGTATGCTGTTTCCGGCGTAGGCGGCATCAACAATGTATTCGTTTGTGATTAGGTCTAGTTTATGGTGAACCACTAGTGGCAGGTCAGTGATATATGGTATGCACTTATATCAGCATTGGCACATCTCATTTCCATGGAGATTATTTGGCCCTGTCCCCTCAGTCATGGTCTATTGACTTTGAAACTTTTGCTTAGTTTACATGTATTAGTTTGTGATTAGATCAGTTTAAGATGAAGCGCTAATGTTAAGTCAGTGATATTTGGTATGTAAATTTATTGGCATTTTCAAGACTCATTTCCACCCCCTCATCAGGGTTCATTGACTTTGAAACTTTTACATAGTTTACAAGTTAATGTTTGTGTTTAAAGGGAACGTCATAATATAAGTCAATGGTATTTGGTATGCAGTTGTATTAGCATTGGCACATCTCATTTCCATGGAGATTGTTTAGCCATGTACCTTCAGTCATGGTCTAATGACTTTGAATATTTGCATAACTTGCATGTTAAAGTATTGCTGTTTTAATTTCAACATTTGCATTATCAAAATTACAAAAAGGCGAGGCATATCTCTCAGTGTTCTCCCCAGATATTTTGAATAGCATCACATTTGGCGTAAAAAAAATAAACTGTATTTTTTTCAATGTCATTTGTCGCGTCGCGGTGATGCTCTATTTCCTTTATGGTATATATGTTTATATTGTTCAATTCATAACTGAGAATACAATTAAAATATAACCATGATAACAGTTGTTTCAGTTTATGTTTTCTATATTCATTTATAGTTAATGTACAGAATTATTGTTTTCCTCTTGGGCCATATAACAATATATGTGTGGTTCTAGCAGAGACATATAATACAATATATGGCTCTGGTTCTAGTTACCCTACCTACCCTACTAAATGAATGAGTGAATGGTTTATTATAGTGCAACCTTTATATATATACAATACTAAATATCAAGTAAAAAAAGAGAAAGTATCATATAGCAATAAAATTTCAATTAAAAAAAAATTTTCATGTCTAAAAATTCATTGTTTCATGGTACTAAATGAATTAGTCCCAGTTGTTTCTTTATATCAAGGTGATAGATATTTTTAACAAAGTTATCTAACAAATAGTCTGTTAATGCATAGTTTTCTCTTTTTGGTATATTTTTTTCTGTCTGCTGTGCCATTTGTGCATCTGTAGTTATTATCGTAAAAATGCGGATTTTTGTCATATCTGGTCCGGTTCCGATCGGTAGTTTACACAAAAGTAGTCAATGGCGGCCGAAGAAAAATTAACGAAAATAAACAATGTTTGATAAGAGATTGGGAACGAATGTGACGCTTTTGATGTATTAAATGGATGAAACATAAACTTAAGCCAACTTATTTAGCCCAAAACCGATATGTTCGCTCTCGATTAACAAGTAGTACCGGCGGAAGAGAAAGAAAGTAATTTTATGAAAGTTGTAAAAATAAACGACCAAACCTCATTTTTAAAGAGAAAAATCGTTTGTATCTTTGAATTTCCGTAATGCAAAACGTAGATTTCGAATTGTTTTATGACTAAATTTTGTCCATGTCTTAATTTGCGATTGCAGACAGACCACGTGGTATTAATCATGTCAGCTTGGGGTATTCGTACCCAAACAGTTATCACCCAAAGGCAAAGGGCAATTAACACCTATTTAATCACTCTTAAATGCCTCTATTGTCCGATTTGAAGGGATTGCACTTAAAGGTGATATAATTTTTATGATCATACGCGGTAATTAGATGAAAGTTCAAAATTTAGGACATGGATTTACGATATAGAAACAAGAAAAATAGCATCCTCAAAATAATTATAGCGTCGCGGAAATTATTATAGCATCACGGGAAAAAATATAGCGTCGCGGTACCGCGACGCTAAAACGGCCTGGGGAGAACACTGTCTCTGTGTTAACAGTTTATGTATATATATATAAGAAATCATTGAATGTAAAAGAAGAAATTCAGCATATGTTTCCCAGAAGTAAAAAAATGAAATTTCCAATTATTAGTTTAAAAATTTGTGCAACAGGTGATTCGCTCAGGTTTCAAGGATTCATATTCTTCATTTTATACATTATATAATTATTGAAAAATATATGTAAATGTCATGTATAATAAACAGCATGTTTTTAATTGATTTGAGGCGACTATTTGAAAGTAACTGATTTGCTTTAGCTATCTGAACAAATGAATTAACCAATTTGTGATCTCCTTGGTTTAAAATCTTTTGAATTTATATTTCAACATTGAGATATATCAAGTAAATGGTTCCTTAATTGTCCACCTTATTATCTAGAAATAGGCATTTTTGTAAGACCGCCAAAGTTTAGGGCCAAAAAGGGATAAAAAACAAGCAATTTTAAACTTTGTTTGAAATGCTTATTTCAGACCAATTTCACTGGGGTTTAAAAAATCTTGAAATATTGGGGGTTCTTTGATATGCTTGATCTTACTGTGTATTTAGAATTTTTATTTTGGCCTGTTTATTCAAGTGGGTCCAAATTAGGGTGCAAAATTAGATTTTGATTGATTTCAATATGCTGAATCTAATAATGTATCTAGACTTTGGATTTTGGGCCAATTTTTCAAATTGGTCCACACCAGGGTCGAAAGGATCCAAAATTAAACTTTGTTTGTTTTAACAAAAATTGAATGGTAGGTTTTTTTGCTATACTGAATTGCTTATATTTGATCAATTTCATTTGTTTGGTGTTTTTTTTTTACACAAAGAGTTACCACCCTTACAATGTTTTAGCTTGTAAATTATGTCTTAACCTTGAGGTGATATGCAAATGAGAAGCTGTCATTTTATTTTTAACTTTTACTTAAAATTTTGCTGATTCAGATATATTAATTTGAGTGATTATTGTTTATACATAATCCAAATTCATAGCTGTATCAAGCTTGAATGTTGTGTCCATATATACTTTCCCCAACTGTTCATGGTTCAACCTTGTATCAAGCTGTGCCCCACAGGAGCATTTTATTCACGTTTTTTTTCATTAACTTCAAGACTTAGTCATTTAAAACATTTCCAATCAAACAATTGGTTGAGGATGATTTCAAAACAATTTTTTTGTTCTTTAGAAATAATCTTTAAAACAAAGATTTATATTGCACATGTTATTCCAGTTTTTTGCTGCACAAAGTTTGGCAAAGACGAATTTGACATATATTTTTAAAATGCTGTGATTTTTTTGTTATTCATTATAGGGCCAAGTTATTGCCTTAAAACTGTCATCACTGTCTCTTTATGTTTTTATTTTGATATATTGAGTAATGTTTTAAAGCACATGCCATGATAATAAACAATTTGGTAATGGTATTAATTGGTATTATATGAAATGCAGGAAATATGATATACTTACAATTTGACATTAGTGGGCTTTCAATCTAGTTATCATTTCTCTGTCATGTAAAGTCCAACTGATTCTTTATCCGTGTTTTAATATGCACTTTGAAATCAGTTTTGTATCATATATACCAGTAATTGGAAATTTGTAAATATATGAACTTTTTAGGCCATACATAGAATTTGAAAATGATGAAATATGATACAATGGGATATTATAAAATGGTTAAAAAAATCCAATTATCACTGATATTATTGCAATAAGGTAAAAAAAACATATGATTTTTTGGTTTACACTTCTATAGACCGAAACAACTTTCCTAACCTATGTAAACACCATGTTGATTTCACTGTGATGTATTCATGCATACAAATGGAACCTGGGGTTCCAGGAAAGTTGAAATTAAAGGAAAAAAATAAATGTTTGGATTGAGAATTATAAGGATCAAACACTTTTTTAGTAGTGGTTATTGATGTGTAAACTTAGTCACTGACTCACAAACTATACATAAAAGTCCAGTTTACATATGAATAACCTCTAGAATAAAGTTGTTTAATCCAATAATATGATTGTTGTTCAGCAGAAAAAAAATGAGAGATTCATTTGGATATCAGGAAATGCTACATACAAATTATGTGATGGAAAGATAAATTGATAGATTAGTGTGATACCAATTTGTCACAGTTTATGCAATATCAAATAAGTACATCACATAAATCTCTGAATTATATATTATATATAATGTACTATATATAAATATATATTATCAAACCGTAATGATTAGTTTTTTGAAAACTTAGCTATTTGAGTGTGCAAATAAAACAATTAAATTAAATTTGTTTGTTTGTTAGATTAACCATTAAGTGAGTTTGTTTACTTCCTGTTGAAAAAGTTACAGTTATATTAAGCCTGTCTCCCTAAGGGCAACTAGGGAATAAAAATATGATCGCTTTGGTGTTCTTCCGACCAGCTTTGAAACCCTTGCCAACATGGGGCAATTTTTTACTGTGCAGGATGTATAAGTACGCAGCCACATCTGGTCAGAATTGGGACGTTATATCTGATGTCTCGTATAGAGAAAGTGCCATGCTCACTGCATGTTAAGAACCATTCCAACAACTCTTTGAGCGGTCTGTAGGTGGTTAGTTGAAAGGCAAAATTTCTGTCCCTATCCAACCTTCATCCAGGACGGCCTTTATTACAGGACCTACCTATTGTATAATTTTGTATTTATTGTTAATTTGTTTTTGTCCTGAAATTGCATGCAGTATTTACCTCTTAGTATGTAAACATCAATCAATCAATATTTAGCGTATCAAATAATGGAACGGGTAACATAAGACTTTTCTGAATTAGTTTGTTTCTATAATTGCTTATAAGGAATACATTTTTTGCCTAACAAAAAAAACCTGATACATAATGTTCTAAATACACACTTAGATAGTTCAACTGTAAATCAGTACAATGGCATTTGATAAATTTAAAAATAAGGAGATGTGGTATGATTACCGATGAGACAACTATCCACCAAAGTTAAAATGAAGTGAATGTAAGCAACAACAATGAGAAAAACACATACCGTATAGTCGGCTATAAAAGGCCCGGACATGAAAAATATGAAACAATTCAGTTGAGAAAACTAACGGCCTAATTTATAACAAAACAAATATGACAGACATGAACCAACGTCAACCTCTGAACTACAGACTCCTGACTTGGGACAGGCACATAAAGAATGTGGTGGGGTTAAACATGTTTGTGAGCGCTCAACCCTCCCTCTAACCTGGGACAGTGGTGTAACAGTACAACATAAGAACAAACTATAAAAATCAGTTGAAAATGGCTTAACTCATCAGATGGATACAAATAGAAATAAATCTAACAAAAACACGAGAGTGGACATGGACGGGTACTTATACATCCCCACAACAAAAAGACACTTAAGTACAGATCTGAGAATAATGGCAGTTACTGACAGCTAGTTCAGAGCCAATAACAACTAAAAAAAAATCATGTATCTAAGACTAAACTATCAATCAGTACACATCCAACATCCAATGGATTTAGTGTAAAGACGTCATTAACAGTCAGGGAAAAACATGACCTTGTACAATGCCAAACTGTAGGTATCGACAGATTGTAGTACCATGAAAGTAAATATGTGTGATATTTAGTATGGTTTTAATTTACTGATAACAAAATGTTCTTCAATGAATTATAAATTGGTATTGTAGGAAGGACAGTTCAGTCTGGACCGATGAGATTTTCTACTCCAAGCCCTAGGGGCAATATATCCTTTCTAAACCAGTCCCAAATACAGAATGTTGGTTCTAGTGGTATGGTAACAGTTAGACCTGGAAATCTAGCTTTTACTGTTGCCAGACCAGGAGGTGTCCAGACAATGCAAGGAGCTGTACAACAGAAACAGGCACCAGGAGGACAGGTTCAGTTTCAAGTTGGACCACAAACAACACAAGGCATTACCACACAGAAAGTGGTAAGCTTATGTTTTCATCACAGAGATCAGTAAAATATCTGAATTAAATTCCTTCACAACAACCAGTAAGCACTAGTCTGTTAAACTGTTGTTATGAGTACATTTCTACATATTTTAATATCCTTGACAAGATATCATTAAACGTATATATGTATGCAGCAGGGCTGCTTTCCATGTATAAACTATTACAATGGTGGATTGTGAGATGTAGGTTACAAATTGTAATATCAAAAGCTTCTAATTTTTTTGTCATTGATGAAAAAGGGAGATTTTTCTAATTTAATGCCTAGAATTTTGACCAGTGACTTTTATTTTGTAGATCCAAGGTCAAGTTTCTTTGTCACAGTTGTCAGGTGGAATTGTTGCCCAACAGATTCCTAATGCTGCAGTTCTAAATCAACAGCAGCAACAACTGATCATACCAAATTTTCAGACAACCAGATATATCCGGCCACAACCGGCTATAAGTGGACAACAAGCTAAATTATCAACAGTGCAGACAACAAACCAGCCAATATTTTCTGTCAGACCAATTGCTCAAATACCATTAGTTACAGGTGCTAATAGTAAAACAGACACAAATGCCCAGCCTTCTAATATTATGACTGTTCAACAACAGGCTAGTCTGCTTCAACAGACTGGAAAATCCCAGGCACTTAAAGGACAACAACAACCATTGGTTAGTCAGATACAGCTACAAAATGCAAAAGGACACTCACAAGTTACTTTTACTATAAATACACAGGCTGCTGGCCAGGTGAGGCTCAATCCAGTTATCCAGAGTAATAAGGCACTTCCTAACCGTAATCCATCTACTGTTTTAATCCGACCACCTATCCGTCAAACCACTCAGCAAATCCCACCTAAATTGAATATTAATCAGCAAAGTGTAGCTCAGTCTAGTATTATAGTTCAGTCCCCTGTCAATAGATTCCAGTCACCAGGTATGAAAGCTCACATCATTGAAAATTCAAAGAAAAATCAACAGGCAACACAATATATGATTTTGTCCCAAAATAAAAATTTGGTTCCAATGCCTGTTATGCAACAGGATACATCACATCAGATTCCAACTCCTGTTTCGGAACTAGATGGATTAATGCCAGAACTGACAAAGAAAACAGATTTACCAGTAGTAGAAACAAAACAAAAAACAACTCGAAAAAACTCAGCTACTTTAGCTGCTAACGAAAATACAACCTTGCCGCAAGTTGTTACATCTCTTGGTAATGTTGAAAAAAATCTTCTTGAAAATCAGAATATGGCTAATCAATTGAAAGATATTATTAAGTTAAATGAAATGGCTTCTGGAAATATGAATTCATCTGGTATTGTTCAGATGATTGTAGAAGATAAACCGGAATGTTTGCCAGTTGTTGATTCTACTGTAAAGGAGGAACCATCTAATGTGGAGGAATCTATTGGTACTACAGTAAAAGATGAAAAAACAGTAGAACCTGTCAAACAATTTAAAAGTGAAAAAGGAGACTTTGAGAAGCTTTTAAAAGAAAACAAAATCACAATAGAAAATGAAATGACAGAAGTTAAAATGGAAACTAAAATGTCAGTAAAAAATGAGCCTGGTGAAAATTCCTCAGAATCTGTGAAACAAGAACCAAACGATAATGTGATGGAAATTGATGAAGTAAAGAATGAAAAACAAACTTTGGAAGAAGAGAAAAAAGAAGAAAGTAAAGATGTAGCAGATTATGAAGCGTTAACATGGAAAGATGGAGTAGGGACATTGGAGGGGAGTGAACTAAAGGTAAATTACATGTATAAAGCTAATCAGTGATGGGAATTTTTTATCTCTGATAATCTAATTTGCTATGACTGATCCTGATAAAACTTCATTTTCAAATTGTCTAATCTGTAATTGGCACAAGCACTGCTTCCAACATATTGCTGTTATTTCTCTTCTATTGCAATAATGGGGTCAAAGTAAAACATGAATATCCTGCAAACATCTGTTACACAACACTGTTGCCATGAACTGTTGAATTGATGGCAGAAGTCATCTAATGAAAAGTGGTGTCACAGGTCATTTAGCATTAAAATTAACAGTTTCACTTTCACATATTTTAGTGAAATAACAGTCTTAGGATTTATTTGTGTAAGCACTCCTTGATGTTTAATGATTTTCACTGATGTCAGTCCAGAATTATTAGACTTATTCATTTTTCTTTGCATTATCAACTCTATTTAGCACAGTCGACTAATTTTAAGTTGGTTAACACATTTTAAACTTAATGGTAAAGTATCCAATTGAATCTAAAAGATAATCAGAGGCCTAATTAATAAATGAAACAATATATGTCATATCCATGATTATTGTTATCTTTATAATAGCATGTTTTATAAAGACTACATTTGAAGACTTTATTTGCAGTTTACTCTGAATGAGTTTGGTTGTGTTGAAGTAATAACTGAAGAATTAGAATGTGATGAGACATTGAATACCAGTAGTGAGACTGAACAGAGTAGGGATGTTACAGAGGCTGGAGATAATGTGTTTAAAGAGGATACAGAAATGAAAGAAGGTATGATGGTACAGAGTTCATGTTATTTGTTATGTCCCTTTGCTGACAAGTCCCACCCTAGGAAAGGTATAGAAAGATCTGGATGTAACAGAATACATAGATAATATGTCTGAAGAGGAATGTTAAACAGATCTTGAAATTAAAATAGATAATATGTTTGACGAGGAATATGAAACAGATTTGAAATTAAAGAGCATAAAATATTAAAGTGAAAAATAAAAAAAAATTATTTGACTTATGAATTACTGTGGATTCATTTATTTTCGTGGATTGAGGAAAACTTGCACTTTCCTGGATATTTGATTTCTTGGTTTTGCCAATCTCTGCATACAAAGCCTATAGAAAATTTGTAATTCATTGCACATTTGAATTCGTAGTTCACCTGTACCCGCGAAAAAGACGAAAATTGGTATCCCACGAATAATAATGAATCCACAGTAGTTTTATATTAAACATGGTTAATTGGTAAGGACGTATTCAATAGCTTATTATTGAAGCTTAATGCAATTTATTTATATTTTGTCATCTTATATATTTTAAAATGTGATTAAATATGATTATATTATCTTAGAAAAAGCAGATGAAAGTGGTGACAAGAAAGATTTAGTGTGTCAGTGTAATCATTGTGGAGAATATGGATTTTACAGTGAATTCTGTCAGAATGGACAGTTCTGTAGTCAGACTTGTGTGGGAGCATATCAGTCAAAGTAAGTTATTACAGTGAATTCTGTCAGAATGGACAGTTGTGTAGTTAGACTTGTGTGGGAGCATATCAGTCAAAGTAAATTATTACAGTGAATTCTGTCAGAATGGACAGTTCTGTAGTCAGAATTGTGTGGGAGCATATCAGTCAAAGTAAGTTATTACAGTGAATTCTGTCAGAATGGACAGTACTGTAGTCAGACTTGTGTGGAAGCATATCGGTCAAAGTAAGTTATTACAGTGAATTCTGTCAGAATGGACAGTTCTGTGTCAGACTTGTGTGGGAGCATATCAGTCAAAGTAAGTTATTACAGTGAATTCTGTCAGAATGGACAGTTGTATAGTCAGACTTGTGTGGGAGCTTATCAGTCAAAGTAAGTTATTACAGTGAATTCTGTCAGAATGGACAGTTGTATAGTCAGACTTGTGTGGGAGCATATCAGTCAAAGTAAGTTATTACAGTGAATTCTGTCAGAATGGACAGTTCTGTAGTCAGACTTGTGTGGGAGCATATCAGTCAAAGTAAGTTATTACAGTGAATTCTGTCAGAATGGACAGTTCTGTAGACAGACTTGTGTGGGAGCATATCGGTCAAAGTAAATTATTATAGTGAATTCTGTCAGAATGGACAGTTGTATAGTCAGACTTGTGTGGGAGCATATCAGTCAAAGTAAGTTATTACAGTGAATTCTGTCAGAATGGACAGTTCTGTAGTCAGACTTGTGTGGGAGCAAATCGGTCAAAGTAAGTTATTACAGTGAATTCTGTCAGAATGGACAGTTGTGTAGTCAGACTTGTGTGGTAGCATATCAGTCAAAGTTATTACAGTGACTGTTTGTCAGACTTGTGTTTGAGCATTTTCCTGTTAACTGAAGAATGAGCTTAGTTTTTGGCAGTCAACATTACTCTTTTAACACTGACAGCAGCAATTTTCGTTTTCTAACGTTAGTTTGCCTCAATCGAAAGTTATTAAACTTGTACACAATGCTTATAACCACAAAACACAGAGCATGTTTGAATTTGGGTGGTGTCACTTTCACTGTTCTTAAATTATGTCCTTTATATATGGAATAATGGCTGAATATCCTGTTTCCACACTAAAACTTAAGTTTGCCTCAACCAAATGATATGAAACTTGTACACAATGCTTATTACCACCAAACACAGATCAATTTTGAATTCGGGTGGAGTCGCTGTCACCGTTCTTGAGTTATGTCCCTTTATAAATGGAAGAATTGCTGAATTTGCCGTTTATTCACAATAGGGAGCAACTGTGTCCCATAAACACATTCTTCTTTTATTTATAAATTAAGCTCAAATTGATTGTGGATGTGCAGTCAGTGCAAAGATTTTGAATGTTCGTAGTTGTAAGTTGAACGATGGAATTAGCATTGATAAATAAAGAAACAGTAACTTGTCAATGAATCGATTTGTTATCTGTATCCTTATTTGATTGGCTGAATTATAGTTACTCCTAAAAAAGGTGATAATGATTTCTATGTGCGACTACCAAACAAACAAATTTAGATTTATTCTATGAACACACTTAGAAAAATAAGGTGTTTGGTAAAATTTAACTGCATTGTATCTGAATAATACAAAAATCATTTTTTTACCTTAATTTTACAGAAGAGAACGAGAGGTAAAGAAAAATAATTTGGTATCTAAGATGGTACTCGGCATGAAGAAGAAAAGAAAGAAACTACTTCTGATGAAGGGAGAAGATGATATAAAAACAGCACCAGGTTAGAATAATCCTGAATGGATTATATATGAGCTGTGTCGGATAGAAATTGACCTTATGCAAATGAATATCAATACATCTGTTAACTTATTTCGGGTTAAAAAAATCTCTGTGTAAAGTCTGTAACTGTTTAAAAATTGAGTTGGTAAAAGGGCCCTACAAAACAGACCAAAATTCATCTTTTATTTCCTATTTGAGTGTTCCAAAATCAATCAAAGTCTTATATATGTACATGCATACATATAATATTACCTTCATATCTGAAAGGGATTAGTTAATGCAAGAAATAGTAGGGAGATGTTGAATGAGTGTGTGTGTGTGTATTAAAGTTAATATGAATGTTTTATCAAAGTTGGAATAGACTAATACACACAAAATAACTAATTGTGATGAATGAGTCTATAGAGTTTAAAGTTTAGATACAATTTTCTTTCTTATAACAAGTTGAATGTATATATTAGGATTTTGTCTAAAAATTACTTCTTTTTTCTTTGAAAGTTTAAATTATTAGGAAATATTCTCACAACTTTTCAGTAAAAATTACCCAATTTTTTAATAAATTCTTTATTTAAAGAGGGTAAACTTACCAATTAATTGAAAAGGGTAGTTTTCATTTATTTTCTAAAAATTTAATACCAAATTAGACTGATGGAAAAACCATAGGCAGAACTATATACATTGTAAAAAGATAACAAAAGTCATGTAATTGATAGTGTAACTTTAATATTGACGGCTGTTGATAAAAGGATTAATCTGGCAATTGCCAAGTGAGCTTTTCTCATCACTTGTTGTCCGTCGTCTGTTAACTTTTACAAAAAATCTTCCCCTCTGAAACTACAGAGCCAAATTTAACCAAACTTGGCCACAATCATCATCGGGATATCTAGTTTAAAAAATGAGTCTGATGACCACGCCTGCCAACCAAGATGGCCGACATGGCTAAAAATAGAACATAGGGGTAAAATGCAAGTTTTGCCTATTATTTTGAAAACCACTATGAATAGAGAAATTCTGACAAAGCTTAAATGTTCAGAATGTTGAGCTCTACCTATTGCCTATTTGTGTCAAAACTGTCAGATGACTTCTTGTAGGAGTTATTGCCCTTAAATGACAAATTTACCATTTAAAAAAAAATTCTACTATCCCGAAAATTATAATAGATAGACAGAAACTTTAAAGGGGAAAAATGATCAGCAATACAAGATCTACAAATAAGTCAAACATAACCAAAATTGTCAGATGACTCCTTTTTAGAGTTGTTGCCCTTTAATGACAATTTTCACCCATTATTTGCATTTTTGCCTTATATCTTAAAAACTATAATAGATAGATAGAAAATATACTAAACAAATATGATCAACAAGACAAGATTTAAAAATAAGTCAACACAACCATAATCATTAGTTGACACCTTATTGAAGTTATTGCCCTTTTATGACAATTTTTCCCATTATTGCCTATTATATTGAAAACTGTTATAGATAGATAGAAACATAACACAGCACAAATGATCAGCAAGACAAGATCTACTAATGAGCCAAAATGGCTGAAATCTTAAGGGGGTACCTAACACTCAATTTTGATAAAATTTTGAAAAAATATTTACTTTGACCAGTTGACAAACACATAAAATGTTTCAAAAATTTAAACCACACAATTTACAGGAATAATTTCATTGGATATATAGCAGTTTGACAAACACTAATTTTGTTCTGTGAGAAGCTTGATTTCTCTTTTCTAATACATTTAGCTGATTTTGAAAGAGTAAACTCCCTTAGGTGTTCTGTACCCCCTTAAGTAGACTCGTTTTGGAGTTATTGCCCTTTAATGATATTTTTTACATTTTTTAGCATTGTTTACTTATTATCTTGAAAACTGTAATAGGTAAATAGAAACTTTGAAAAGCAAAAATTATCAGCAGGATAAGATCTACTAATATGTCAACATTACTGAAATTGTCAGTTAACTCAATAGAGTTGTTTCCCTTTAATACTGATTTTTACTAAAAATGGCCATTGTTGAAGATGCAAGTGAGTGACAAAGGCTCTTAAGAGCCTCTAGTTTCATCATGTATTCTTTGAGCACTGATTGTAAATTTTAATTTTACATGGTTTATTAGAAGTTGTTTTTTAAAAATGTTTCTTTATTTATGTAATTCTATTTGTAGGGAGAAAATCCAAAACCTTTTCCTGGACAACCTATATATCTGAAGAGAAATGTCCAGCAGCACCTCCAAGATTGTTTAAAAATGTTAGTATTCTGATTTATTATTGAAATGGAACAAAACAGAAGTACTACTCTCAAGTAGTATACTGTGCCTTTTGTAGCTTACCTAGCCTAAAGGGCCAGTGTGAACTGTTGCCATTGACTCCTTATAGTCAATTGTTCTTCAATGATGATTTATACTAAATTTTCATGGTCCATGAACATTAGAAAATGATAGTGCGAGTGGGGCATCTGTTTAATATGGACACATTCTTGTTTTAGATTTTGTTCCATGCTGATGGACAAAATGTCTTTCACACTAATTTAGGTTAGATTGGTTTGAACATCAAAAGTAATGAGCAGCACAAAATCTACATAAATGTTCTTTGATTGACCCATCAATCAACCCCAGACTAGAGTTGTGGCCCAAAATCATGATTAAACCTGTTTTGTTTTTTATGCCCCCGCATAGCGGTGGGGGCATTAAGTTTTACCCTTGTCTGTACGTCCCAAAATTGGTTTCCGTTCTCTAACTTGAGTTTGCCTCAACCAAATGTTATGAAACTTATACACAATGCTTATCACCACAAAACACAGATCAAATTTGAATTTTGGTGGCGTCACTTTAACCGTTCTAGAATTATGCCCCTTTATAAATGGAAAAATTCCAAAAATTTGTTTCCGTTCTCTAACTTAAGTTTGCCTCAACCAAATGTCATGAAACTTATACACAATGCTTATTACCACAAAACACAGATCAAGATTGAATTTTGGTGGCGTCACTTTAACCGTTCTAGAGTTATGCCCCTTTATAAATTGAAAAATTGCAAAATTTTTAGTTTCCGTTCTCTTACTTAAGTTTGCCTAAACCAAATGTTATGAAACTTATACACAATGCTTATTACCACAAAACACAGATCAAGTTTGAATTTTGGTTGCGTCACTGTAACCGTTCTAGAGTAATGCCCCTTTATAAATGGAAAAATTGCTAAATTTTTATTTTCTTCTAAATATCAAGTTATTTTTTAAATTTGGAGTTATCTTCCTTATAGTTGAATCAACTACAATCAATGCTTTATACGATGCAATGTTTAACTTTGACTTCCACTGACAAAACACAGATCAAGTTGAATTTGGGTAGTGTCACTTTAACCATTATTGAGTTATGCCCCTTTATGAATCGAAAGATTGCAAAATTTTATTTTCCATTCTGTAACTTAAGTTTGCCCCAACCAAACATTATGAAACCTATACACAATATTCATTACCACAAAACTAAGATCAAGTACAAATTTTTGTTTCTGTTTTCTAACTTTAGTTTGCCTCAACCAAATGTTATGAAACTTATACACAATGCTTACTACATAATACAGATTAAGTACGAAATTTGGTGGCGACACTTTTACCATTCTTGAGTTATGTCCCTTTATAAACATAAAAATTGCTGAATTTTTCGTTTCCGTTCTCTAACTTTAGTTTGTCTCAACCAAATGTTATAAAACTTATACACAACCGTTCTAGAGTTATGTGTGTTTACAAATAGAAAAATTGCTGAATTTTTAGTTTCTGTTCTCTACTTAAGTTAGCCTCAACCAAATGTTATGAGACTTACACACAATGCTTATTACCACAAAAATCAGATTAAGTTCAAATTTGGATAGCGTCATTTTTACCGTTCTTCAGTTATGTCCCTTTATAACTATATTTTGTTTTTGTTTTTTATGTTTTTTTACATTTTTGCATATTTCTAATTCCATGAAAACCATAATGGATAAACAAAAACGCTGTCTGGCAAAAGTGATCAGAAAGACAAGATTTGAGCTTACACAGTTTCCATTCAACTCAAATATTCTTGATACATTGTGTCAGTTTTATGCAAGAATGCCAAGTGAGTGGCTCATTGGAGTACTTATTAAGACATTAACATATTCATTGAACACCTATTTATACCCATAGCAAAAAGAACCACTTAGTTCATCCGGAGTCTGCTCAGTTGTTGATATATTGTCTTAAGGCTGTATGAAATCAACACCATTGCCATCTTAAAGGTCATTGTCAAAGCTGATACATGTATTAAAATGGTTTAAAGACCATATTGCTAGTGTCTTTTTAATCAAATTCATACTTCTTACTTATAAGTGTAGCTGAAAACCTAAGATCACATCATTTGTAATAGTTTTCTCTCATCTAACTTATGAAAATCATCTTTATTTTTAGGCATTCCCGTCTCACAAGAATGGATTTAAATTAGGTATGAGAATGGAAGGCATTGATCCAAAGCATCAGACACTGCTATGTGTATTAAGTGTTGCAGAAGTCTGTGGATACCGTGTAAGACTACATTTTGATGGTTACTCAGAATGTTACGATTTCTGGACCAATGCAGATTCACCCTATATATTCCCTGTTGGATGGTGTGAGAAAAATGGAAAAACCTTGCAGCCTCCTAAAGGTAGGAATAAAAAACCTCATGAACTTCACTCAATATTATACCTCTATGCCCAGAGTGAGCTGATATTTTGCTTATCATCATGTATTTGCTAATCAAATCTTTGTTTACACAACTCCTCAGTTTAGATCTAATATGAAAAACAGAGTTGTGAAGTAAACAGCTGTTATACAGCTAACAAACAACACATAATAAGAAAAACAAAAACATTAGAGGTTTTCTTGATATTAACTTGATAAGATCAATCTACATCTGTATTAAAAGAAAAATGTATTTCATTTTCAGGATTCAACAAAGATACTTTTAATTGGGCAACATATTTAAAACTAGCTAAAGCTATATCTGCTCCAAAGCAAATGTTCCACAACCAACCTAACACAGTAAGTATATTTGGTTATCACATTAAACTTATAATATTCCACAATAATAATTTCACCATATATGACAATATTTAAGTATTTTTATATGGTCTGAAAGAAGCATATATAAATTCCCATTATTAATATACACAAAATACCTTCCTGAAAGGTGTATACAAGAAATCAGAGACAAGATTTGGATCTACAAAACTAGGGAATTGTAAGACTAGTAACATTTGTACTGATCAAAACTATATCTATTGTATTTCACTATTTTTCAAAACCAATATTGTAACCATAGTGATTGTATCCATGAAAAATAATTGAGCCTGTAACTTAAAAAATTGATAGTTTAATGAGTTTTGTGTAAGAAACAAAATGTTTTGAGATCATATTTGAGAGGTTTGCATTGAATACTTATATTATTTCAGCCTGTGACTCCAAGTTTGTTTAGAATAGGCAGTAAATTGGAGTCTGTTGACAAGAAAAACAATAATTTAGTGTGTGTGTCTACAGTAGTAGATACTATGGGAGACAGAGTTTTGATACATTTTGATGGATGGGAAGATACATATGACTATTGGTGTGACATTACCTCCCCGAACATACTTCCTGTTGGCTGGTGTGAGGAGCAAGGGTTACCATTAAATCCCCCATGTGGTAAAATTTTCTTATACGGTTAGAAATAACACCAATATTCTTTTCAAATAACAATTATTTTTTTTTCAAGTGTGCCATTGTAGAATTGAATACATTATAATGCTGATTTTGTTAGTTAATAATATAAGATTTAGTTGAATGTTGATAAAATAATATTTGATTTGTTTCTGAATTTAAAGTGAAATCTCAAATGTAGTATGTTTTTTATCAACAACGTCAATTTTTTTTTTTTTTTTTTTTTTTTTTTTTTTTTTTAGAATGGAAAGGTGCAACATTTAGATGGGATGAATACCTGGTAAACACAAAGTCAGCGGCAGTCCCAGCCAGAGCATTTAAACCTGTAAGATTATAACATTTAATAAGCTTTTGTGTTGTAGTATAAGAGACATGAATTATGTTGGTAAATAATGGTCAATATGCTTGATTCCATTAGTTAGCAGGGTTAAATAATGATCATAAGAATACAAAGATACTACAATATCAAGCAGGCACAATTACTCTCAGTTAAAGGATGCAGAGATCTAGTCAGTCGATAAAACATGTAAATGATGTAAAAAGCAGTGAAAAGTAAAGGAGTTATTCTGGTAATGGAAATAATATAAATTAAGCTTATTTTAACTCCATTTATATAAGTTATAGGGTATTATTATGTGAAGGTTTATATATTTTCATGTTCTTAAATTTAATATCTATGACCACTTTCATACATAACAATTAACAGAGAGCCCCACTTGGATTTGAAGTTAGTATGAAGTTAGAAGTTGTTGACAAGAGAAATCCTATCCTAATAAGAGTAGCCTCTGTTGTTGATACTGATGGACATCTGATAAAGATACATTTTGATGGATGGGCTGACAGTTATGACTACTGGATGGATGACGATTCTTTGGACATTCATCCGCCAGGCTGGTGTGCTAAAACAGGACATCCTCTCACAGCACCTATATGTAAGTGTTCATTGTCATATTGTGTATGTGAAGTACTTATACTGATGAGTCGGCAAAACTGAATTAGTATACACTTCGTTTATGTAGAATTCCATCTTGTACAGATACCTTTTGAAATCTATTGTAACTTTATATTAGTTTCCATAATTTCTGAAAATCCTGTACAGGATATTTCCAGAAATTTAAATTCAAACTATGTCAGTATCCTTTCCTGTGTAAGTAATTTGGCAGCAAACCCTATGCTATGAGATGACTATGCTTGCATGTTTCGAAGAGAGATAATATCTCTAAATTTCCAAAATGATTAATTAAACCATAAAATTTTACACCCATCTGTGCATGAACAAAAGCATTAAAGCACACTAATTTTATTGTTAGTTATTCAAAATTCACAAACCAGTCTTTTTACCATCAGACGGTAAAACCTGTGATGAGAATGCTCTTTTTTTCTGATATGGGTGAGTAGGTAGTCAATTTTATGTTCTTTAGCTCTAGAAGATGTGATTCATCTCCCAGGATCGTATAATCAAACAGTTTTATATTTTTTTAGCTCCAGAAGACATTATCCATTCCCCTGGACAGTCTGGATGTCCCACACCTGGTTGTAAAGGAATAGGACATATTAAAGGGGCCAAATATATAGGACATCATAGGTATTATTTAACATTGTTATTTAATCATCATATGAAAGAAGTTTTAACATTATTTGCCACAAGCTACTGATGAAATTAAGTGTAGACCGACTTGAGCTGAATATTTTCTGGAGGTCTTGAATTGTAATGTTATGGTTTATTGATAGCTTGTTTAAAAATAGACAATTGCTGCTCTGTAAAATTTGACTGTCTGGAAACATTAAAGGCAATTTGTACATTTAAGATTTCCCATAGATTTAAACTGTGTTTACCTCACCTGGTTCAAATTATTCCATCATAGTTGTTTATATATAATCTCTATGAAAAAATATCATTGAATAGATAATCAGAAATGTAACTAGCACAAACATTATTAAAACCTCTGATTATTGAAATCCAAATCAATTCATGTCCCCAAGGATGACTAAAAAAATTGATATGAGGGCTAAAAGATACACTTATAAATGCCTGATTATGAAATGATTATGACGTTGTCACTTCATTTATTTTGAATTATGAATTTTATTTCCCAGTGCTTTTGGTTGTCCATATTCAGCATTGAATATGAATAGAGAAACAACACTCCAAGATCGGTTAGGGTCAACACGTGCTGAGGAAGGACAGTCGACGCCTATGCCAGGATCTGGAGACGATCAGTCGTTAGATGGAACAGGAACAGATACACAAACAGCAGAGGCACAATCTCCTTCATCCCAAGAAAATACGTAAGATTAACAGCTTTTAAAAAAGTAGTTCCTTGTTATTACATGAACAGCAAAACTTGTTTTACCCAGCAGTATTTTTACTAATAAAAGGAAGTATTTTAAATTGCAGCAGCTTCGTAATGAAATTAAAAGAAAAAATTGCAAAAGAGAACATTCAAGTATGGCTAGTAAGCATTTACCAAGACCTTTGATGAAATGAGGGAATTACAATGAGATTTTGTTGTCTTTCGAAATAATTTTATGGTAAATGTTTCCATTTGGAAAAGAGGCATAAAAACAAAATAATTTTTAAAGAACATTTTGTATGCATTAACCTTTCCTAGCTTCAAAAATTATCCGATCTGCATCATTTATCCCATAATAATGTCATAGACATCTTTCAAATAACTGACTGATAATTTTTTGTAAACTGATACTATGTCATATTAAATATGATTACATTTTTTTGTTTCATCTGTAAAATATTGGAAAATACAAACAAAATAGTTGTTCAATAAAATATTTTACTTCTGGAATTTTCTTAATGGTATTTCCTTTCACAAGTATTTGATCTAGTTTCCTGAGAGGATTGTTAGTACTTGATTGTTACATGGAGGGTAAAGATGTGCTGGACTTGTAGTTTAAAATCAAACAAACATACTTTGTAGCCCTGAAATAACTGCTAACCAGTGCATTGTTTCCCTTTCTTTGAATGAAGAATGTCTTTTCCATCAAAAACTTGTTGAAAATTCAGTCTTTTCTCTGTCTTTAATTATTTCTTCGGCAGTTGAAATATAATTATAAAATCAGTATTATCAGTACAGATATTTCTGTTTTTAGGAAATGTGAGACCCCTGGATGTGATGGATCAGGTCATGTGACTGGTAGATTTACATCTCATCACAGAAAGTCAGGTTGTCCCCTTGCCCAGGAAAATCTCATAGAAAAACAGATGCAACAGTACAGACAACAGTTAGAAGTCAAACCTGGTTTTAAAGTGAAATCCACTAGAGGAAGAAAACCTAGGTTTGTAGGAAAGGGAGATAATTTATATTTTTTAAAACACCTGAAAACACATGATTGGTTTATTCTTATTAAAAATATGTTATAAAGGGATTGGAAAACAGTTTGTTCCCTGCATGATGCAGAGCAGGACACAGAAATCCTAAGTGTTTGTCTATGCGTCTGTCTGTCCAGTCTTGTAGGCGCTCTCAGATGTACAATACTTCCCCAATTTTTATCAAATTTATATCAAGGGTTATATCAGCAATGTCTTGGACAAGTTCATAGAGTGCCAATCAACTTTTTTTCAAAGACTGGAAAATTGCATTGTTTGCACTCTGAAGTGTACAATTCTTGCCAGATTTTTATCAAATTGATATTAAAGGTTGATATTAGCAATGTCTCTGACAAGTTAAAAAAATCAGTGCCGATCAACTTTTTGAAAAAAAGAGTTATGCCCCTTCGAAATTTTAATTATCAATGAAAAATTGCATTGTAAGTGTTGTAAAGTGTACAATTCTTGCAAGATTATTATCAAATTTATATCTAAGGTTTATATCAGCAATGTCTCTAACAAGTTCGAAAAACTGTGCAGATCAACTTATCTTAAAAGAGTTATGCCACTTTGAAATATTAAATGTATGGAAAATTACATTGTATTGAGTGCTCTCAAGCCTACGTTTCTCGAAGATATTCATGCTACAGCTCTACAATTTATATTGCATATTTACCAGAGAATTGAAAAAAAATTACAGTTTTGGTAAAATATCTGATAAGATGTATCTTTCAATGCAGAAAGGGTTTCTACATGTACATTTCTGTTACAGACACACATGATACTTACTTTATGATTGACAGTTAATTATTAAGTAATCAACACATGCATAGATATTCACAAGTTCCAATTAATCATTGACATTTTATTTCTTGATTAACTAATTAATTACAATGAGTTGTGTACTCAGCTTGTCAAGAAATGTACTTTAAATATGACAGAATACTAAAAATAAAAGCTAAAAATTGTGTTTATATATTTAAAAAAAAATCAACTAGAATTTTAAAATAATGTTAATTCTGCTGATTTGAAATTTAACTCTTATTGTACAGATGTTGTAATAAGACCTATGATGATTGTCATCCTGATTCCTTAATAAAGAGATATTTGTATTGTAGAAGTTATTACTTGAATATGGGTGACAGAGGGCCATTTAAATCACATCTTACCACGAAAAAGGAAAAGGAATATAAAGAAGGTAAACATTTGTAAAATTCACAAGACAAACTACATAACACACCAAATTGTCAGTGAAGGACATCAATCATTCACTATTTACCATGAGTATTTCATTGAAATTATCACATTTTTTAAATGATTTAAAACTTTAAGGTACTATATAGAAGTGTGCTACCTTCATTTTCTTAGATAATTATTTTGCTTTAATAATTAAGTCAAGCTGTATTAAACCTATTTTCTTAAGACTACATATATTTTTTCTTACATTATGGGTGAAATTCTTTTTCTTCTTTTACTCCAATACTTATATTGAAAATTACCAATTGTTTTTTTTCAACTTTAACGAGGATAAATATAATTGAGCAGTAAAAATATGTTGTTCTTTCATTTTAACTGTTTGTTTTTTAACAGGTCAGAATCTAGCTGAGAGAAAAGTTGAATCGTCAATTCACAAATCTGTGTTTTCTTCTTCCATCATCAAACCATCTAAGGATCTTCCTTTAGGTTGGGAACAACATTCCAAACTTTTACCCGGTGTTAATCGAGGGACAGATATCAGCAGCTGGTCTGTTGAAGATGTCTGCCATTTTGTACGCAATTTACCTGGATGTCTTGACTATGTCCGAACTTTCAAGGAGGAGGTAATTATATTTTACAAGTCTATACAATATGTCATTTTAAAATAATGAAAAGAAAATTATAACAAAATTAAATGGATATTGTTTTCAGAAATTCTTGTTGGAAGGGACCTTTATAGCTTGATGACAAAATGTTTTTTTTTTTTAATTTATTCTAAATTTTCAGGTTTTGTTGTCAAAATATGCTCCTGCTTAGGTCTTATTACCCAAAAGAGAAAGAAATATCCAAACAAATTTAAGTCAAAAACACAACCAGAACATATGAAAGATATTTTGGAAATTAGCGATCTCACTTAATGCAAGAAAAAATTCAATGTCTTTAAAAATACAACATTAGTTCTAGGCCATGGTAGTTTGTAAACCATATTTTGGTATGCAAATTTTTAGTACCATAACCTACTAACACAGGGCTATGATGATGAGACACAAAACTGATTGAAAAAAAATAACTAAAAAACAAATGTCATGTATCCAGATAACATGAATATCCCAACTTTATGACAAATTCCAATGGCAGTAATTCCTTGAAAAGTAAGTTATCGAGTTTGCTGCTTCTTTGATAAGCAGGATGCATTTAGGAGTTAGAGCAGAGACTGGTCAGCTTTGAGTCATAATATTGTGTCTGGCTAGTCATAATAATGTGTCTGGCTAGTTCGACATGACTTCCCCCTTTTAAATATCTGACTCAGCCTGTGATTTTAGTACAATGCAGGATTCATATTCATATCACATTAACATGTTCTCCTAAATATCATTGATTTTGCCACTGTATGTTCAACAGTCATCCATCATCATCATCATCATCTAAGTTGTTCTGTAACTCACAATTAAAAGTAAACAAAAAACAGCTGAATGTTTGTAGGCAAAGAAACAAGTGTGGACAATTACACAGTAGTATTGTATGACCAGGCCACAGACCTATAGGTGGAGTCAGCATCTTAGTTGCTTTACTCATACATTTAGTGTAAATCAAATTATTGTCTTTTCAGCAAATTGATGGTGAAGCTTTTCTTCTGATGGACCAGACAGATCTGCTGAAGATTTTAAATTTAAAACTGGGACCTGCTTTAAAAATATACAACAGTTTATTAATGTTCAAGAATTCCCTAGATGTGTGAAAAGTTATTGAATACTGGTTATTATATATATAGAGTCTTAATTCTACCTGAAGAACCAGAAGAAATTAACATTTTTCAAATATTCCCTAGATGGGTGAAACATTTTATAATAATAAGTATAATATACAGAAAGTATAAGAAGAGTGTAAAAAACCCAGATTATTTATTATTATTGTTACAGGAATTTTCTCTTCTAAATAACATCAAATATACACAACATGTTTTAGAGCATGTGTTGCTTTAAGTAACTTGTCTTTTTTTAAGAGCATTCGCAATGTTTTGAAGTATAACTAAAATCAGGCAATTTTCTCCAGAAATGAATCATGCAGGTGTTGGAGAGAGGAGTGTTAGGGAGGATGGAAAAATGATGGGGATAGACATATGGAAGAGGAGGTTTGGAGATGATAGGAGATTCCTCTCTTTCTAATAGAAGGGAGGGAGGAAGGAGAATATAAACAGAAGATAGCTACTTTTCTCTGCCAATCCGTAGAGTTAACTTTTTCTACATACTGAGAATATATTGTGAGGAATGTAGTGTCTAATCTCCATATTTCAATGTTTTATCAAAATCTTTTTACCTCAATAATACACATTGTTTATCGAGTTCTTAATTGGAATTTACTGTATTTTACCTCCTCCCCCTCATATATTGAAATAGTCATTTGTCTTTAAGGTGTTTAACACCAAAGTTTGTTATAGGTTTTAAAGATGTTTACACTTTATCATTTTGGATAAAGACTGTGATAAATTTAAGAGAAGAAGTAGCAATACACTTTATAGGTTGATTTTAATAGACTCCTATTTATTACATATATTATTTTGAATGGTTAAAATATTTTATTATAATTAAAAAAACAACAAGAAGGATAACTCAGTATTTTATATAATTCTTGAAATCATTGAAATTATTGTTGTTTCATTGAACATGTGAATTTATTTTTATCACTGTGAAAAATCTCAAGCTAAGCATCTTGAAGATGACAATTTATTATTATCATTGTGAAGAATCTCCTGTTAAACAGCTACAGAACACCCTGAGTGACAAGGGTGCCAATGGCAAAAATTTATGGAATCATTTAGCATTGATTTGATAATGTTAAGTGTATGCTATACAATAATTCAAATAAACACAGCCCTTATTTGTCAACCAATTCCTAGAGGTTTCATTGGTCATTCTTATCCAAGTTTGGTCGAAATGGTACAAGATTCTCCTAGGTATTTCAGTGGATTTGCTTGCTACATCAGTATTTTTTTTCCTTCAAAAAATAATTATCAAATGTATTTAGATGTTATAAATTGTAACAATTAGGGTTGTATTGATGCTTGTTTAATATGTTACCAATAAAAGTAAATGAAAAAATATAATCCATCTTTCGGCAGCTTTCTATTCTCTGTGATACTCTGAAGATTATCAAATCTTAAGTTTAAAAATTCTTTAAAATGTCATTGAAGACAGCTTACTTTTTTACCTAAATTAAGACAGAACCAGTGTTAAATCATATTTCTCAATCTTAGTATCCAAATACCTATTACATTCGAAACCTAAATTAAATTGTAGTCCAAACTCATAATTTCCAGAGACAATCCATACTGGGTTGCACAATACATAATATTCATCAGGAATTTTGTTTGGTGCTATTATCTTCATGCAGAAAATGTTCTTAGATTTGTCTTGATGCAGTTAAGAATGTGATTAATAGAAAGGAATTGATGTAGCCTTGGTTTTTTGTATTGTTTTTGTATGATTGGATGAATGTTTATGAGTGTTATTGTGCTATGCTTTGTTTATATAAAGACATTGTTTCGTTAATTTTAAAAGCTTAAAACATGTTACTTATCAGATTTGTTTAACCTAAGAAAAAAATTGAATCAGGCGAAAAATTAGTTTGCATTGTAGATTGCATGTGTAATATTGAAATCATGTCCGGGATTGTAAAAATGTGGTATGGATTGGTGGCTAATATTGTACTCTTGATTTGTGAGGCATTTAATTTCATTTTGAACCTTACTTCATTTTGTTCCTATCTTTGAAATGCAAAAAAAATACATTTAACAGGTTAAATACTTATTATCCCATGTTTGGGTATCATGCTAGTTTTGGTTAAGATAAGGTAAATATGAAAAACTAGGTTGTTTTTTTTTGGTAAACACAAAATTTGTAGGATTGTATTTCCAGTTACCGGTATTAAAAATTTCTTGAAAAATGTTAGTGGTGAAAATTTGTCACAGGGATCAAATAATTATTCTGAATATACTAAATGGGCCACATATAAATCTGTAACATTTGGAAACAGGCTATTATTTCAACTTGGAATTATTTTGAATTATGGAATTTCCATAATTTCTTGTGCTTGAAATTTTTAATAAATTCCATGTTTATTCTTTATTATAATGTTTTGAGGGGTGCATAACACTTTCCATACAATGTATTTTGTATAGAAAGTGTTGTGCGCCGCACAGTACATTCTATTGAAAATGTGCTATCTTCTTTTTAATAGAAAGTGTTGTGTGCTGCACAGAACATTAAAATACAGAATAAACATGGAATTTATTAAAAATTTCAAGCACAAGAAATTATGCAAATTCCATAATTAAAAATAATTCCAAGTTGAAATAATTGCATGATTGGAACATTTTACTTAAAAAGGAAAACAAAAGAGAGTGATTGAGGAAGGATTGAATGCTGTGATTTTGAGGTATAAATATGTTTTTGTTATGTTTTGTATGATGCTGAAAATGTGATAAATAAATTTAATATAAAGGTAATTTGCTTTTCTTTTCTGGTTTAAATTTTTGAGAACGAAGAAGAACTTCTCCTGGCTCTTTCATGTGAGCTTTTCTCATCACTTGGCGTCTGTTATCCGTCGTCGTCATCTGTTAACTTTTACAAAAATCTTCTCCTCTGAAACTACTGGGCCAAATTTAACCAAACTTGGCCACAATCATCATTGAGGTATCTTGTTTACAAAATGCCAACCAAGATGGCCTACATTGCTAAAAATAGAACAAAGGGGTAAAATGCAAGTTTTGTCTATTATTTTGAAAACTGTTGTGAATAAAGAAAATCTGACAAGGGCAGAAATGTTCAGAATATTGAGCTCAACCTATTGTCCAATTTAAGTCAAAACTGTCCGACGATTTCTTATAGGGATTAATGTCTCACCTTGACAGAGTCAAAAAGCGAGACATAGGTATGCTGTTTCGGGTGGCGGCGTCAACAATGTATTAGTTTGTGATTAGGTCTAGTTTATGGTGAACCACTAGTTGTAGGTCAATAATATTTGGTATGCAGTTATATTATCATTGGCACATCTCATTTCCATGGAGATGATTTGGCCCTGCCCCTTCAGTCATGGTCTATTGACTTGAACTTTGAAACTTTTGCTTAGTTTACATGTATTAGTTTGTGATTAGGTCAGTTCAAGGGGAATCATTAGTGGAAGGCCAATGTTAATTGTTATGCAGTTGTATAAGCATTAGCACATCTCATTTCGATGGAGAATATTTGGCCCGCCCCCTCAGTCATGACTTTGAAACTTTTGCTTAGTTTACATGTATTAGTTTGTGATCAGTTCAGTTTAAGACGAACCTGCTAATGTTAAGTCAATAATATTTGGTATGCCAATTTATCGGCATTTGCTAGTCTCGTTTCCATGGAGATTATATAGCCCCATCCCCTCATCATGGTTCATTGACTTTGAAACTTTTACATGTCAATGTTTGTGTTTAGGTTTGTTTAAAGGGAATGACTTATGATAAGTCAATGGTATTTGGTATTCAGTTGTATTAGTGTTGGCACATCTCATTTCCATTAAGATTGTTTAGCCCTGTACATTCAGTCATGGTTCATTGACTTTGATTATTTGCATAACTTACATGTTAAAGTATTGCTATTTTAATTTCAACATTTGCATTATCAAAATTACAAAAAGGCAGGACATTTCTCTGTGTAAACAGTTTACTGCATTTAAATGACAAATTTTACCATTTTTTTTACTTTTGCCTTTTATCTTGAAAACTATAATAGATAGAGAGAAACTTAAAAATGCAAAAATGATCAGCTATTCATGTGAATAAATGCTGTGATGATTTTCTGCACACAAATCACTGCATTGATGTTTTTGTTGTAAGGTTTTAAACTATATGGGCCAAATTTTGGCCAAGTCAAACCTAAGACTTTAAAATATGTACTTGCTGCTTTTTCACCTCACAAGATTCACACAAAATAATCTGTTATTGTCCCCCAAGCAACACATTGCGGTGGAGATCCTGCGACCGTCCATCTGGTCTTGTATGGGCTCTCACATGCACATTTATATAATTATACAATTATGGCCAGATTGTTTTGAAATTTATATCCGCTATGTCTCGGACAAGTAAAAAAATCAGTGCAGATCAACTATTTTAAAAGGAAATATAAATTATAAGGACTATTGCAGTGTAAGTGCTCTCAAGTCTACATTTCTTGTAGGATTGCTGAGAAATTTAAATTGAAGGTCTAAATCAGCAATGTCAAGGACGAGTTTGAAAATCAATACAGGAGTTCTGTCCCTTAGAAATGTTAATTCTATAGGTGTAATACCAGTAAAACATAGTATGTCACATCCTGTTTCATGCTAAAAAGGGTTGAAAAAATGTCCCCTTGAATTTGACAGTTGTAGGAAATTAACCCTGCAGAAAAATTGTTTCTGGGTCATAAACATATGTCTTGGGTGATTCAAAGCACCACTATTTTTGTCCCCTGCGTAATGCGTTGCGGGGGACATGGAAATACTGTGCGTCCGTGTGTCTGTCCGTCCATCCGTCCGGTCTTGTTAGCTCTCATAGATACAATTCTTGCCAGATTTTTATAAAACATATACTATAGGTTAATATCAGCTATATCTCAGACAAGTTCTATAATGGTGGCTGATCGACTTCTTTTAAAAGTGTTATGCCCCTTGAAAATATTAAATTTATGGAAAATGGCCTCGTTAGCGCTCTCACCGGTACAATTCTTGCCAGATTTTTATAAAACTTATACTATAGGTTAATATCAGCAATATCTCGGACAAGTTCTATAATAGTGGACGATCGACTTTTTTTAAAAGAGTTATGCCCCTTGGAAATATAAAATATGTGCAACGCGGGGAACATTGGAACTCTGTTCTTTTATTTTATTTGGTGTTTCTATCAAATATTTTGGAAACTTGAGGTGACATGGTTATTAAATTTCTTGTATGCAATAAAATGTTGTGTGAAATTTTTACTGTTGTAATGGACAGAACAAAACTTTATTCATGCCAAGTATTTCTTTATTTGAAGCCAAGATAAATTCTGCACATATTTTTGAAAGATGCCAATTTAACAAAGACTAGGGGAAAAACAATGGTGGTATTACCTGTCTAAAGGTAATTGCATTGTTGGCGCTCTCAAGCCTACATTTCTTGTCAGATTTTGATGAAACTCATATCGAAGGTTAATATCAGTAATGTCTTGGAAGAGTTAAAAAATTAAGTGCTGATCAACCGTTTTCAACAGGAATTTTGTGATGGACATTATATAAAATTTACATCAAAGGTTTGTATCAGCAAGATCTTTGAACAGTTCGATAACCATTGTCAATCAAATATTTGTGAAGGAAATAGAATTATATGGGAAATAATATTGTTAAGCTACAAAGCCTACATTTCTTGTAGGATTTTTATGAAAAAGTTTAAAAGAACCACAAAAAAAATGTTTTTAAGTTGTTGATCTAGGACAGTTAAAAGAATTGCATCAATGCTGGACATTGGAATGCTGTTTTTATAGTTTTCCTTCCCTTGTCCATGACCACCCCACCTCAAGTCAGAATCAATATAAGTTCTTGGCCGTCATTCCAGCAATGTGTTGTGACATTTTAACAATGGACAGGATAAGTAAGCAAATTATAAGCAATTGTTCTTTAAAAAGTTTTAAAACATGGGAGTGCAGCTTTCAAATAAATTTTGAAATTTTTGTATATTTTTTTATACAAACGCAAAATGGATCTCTATGAAATTGTACCAAAAGGTTCCATACCTTAAAATTTGATTGATTTTGGGGTTTATGGCCCTAACCCCATTTAGGATAAAGGGACCAAAAACAATACTTTACTAATACTTTATATATTTATATCTTGACCAATTTCAATGTGGTTTAATTCTGAGTCGAGAATTCTTCAGGTTCTTTAATATGCTGAATCTTACAGTGTATTTTAGATATTGAATTTTGGGCTCTGTTTTAAATTGGTTCACATTGAGGTCCAAAATAAAATTTTGTTTCATTAAAAATTTAATTATTGGGGTTCTTTGATACGCCGAATCTAACCATGTATTTAGATTTTTGTCTCGCCTTAGGTCTAGTTTATGGTGAACCACTAGTGGTAGGTCAATGATATTTGGTATGCAGTTGTATTAGCATTGACATATCTCATTTCCATGGAGATTATTTAACCCTGCCCCCTCAGTCATGGTCTATTGACTTTGAAACTTTTGTTTAGTTTACATGTATTAGTTTGTGATTAGGTCAGTTTTAGGGGAACCATTTGTGGTAGGCCAATGTTAATTGGTATGCAGTTGTATAAGCATTAGCACATATCATTTTCATGAAGAATATTGGCCCCGCCCCCTCAGTCATGGTCTATTGACTTTGAAACTTTTGCTTAGTTTACATGTATTAGTTTGTGATTAGATCAGTTTAAGATGAACCGCTAATGTTAAGTCAATGATATTTGGTATGCAAATTTATTGGCATTTTTAAGTCTCGATTCCATGCAGATTATATAGCCCCACCCCCTCATCATGGTTCATTGACTTTGAAACTTTTACATAGTTAATGTTTGTGTTTATGTTTGTTAAAAGGGAACGACATATGATAAGTCAATGGTATTTGGTATGCAGTTGTATTAGCATTGGCACATCTCATTTCCATGGTGATTATTTAGCCATGTACCTTCAGTCATGGTTCATTGACCTTGAATATTTGCATAACTTACATGTTTAAGTATTGCTATTTTAATTTCAACATTTGCATTATCAAAATTACAAAAAGGTGAGACCTATCTTTGTGTTATTAGTTTATTAATTGCAGGATCTGTTTTCAAATTGGTCCACTTTAAGGTCCAAAGGATCCAATATTGAACTTTGTTTGATTTCAACAAAAATTGAATATACAGGGTTCTTTGATATGCTGAATCTAACCGCATATTTAGATTTTTTATTTTGAGCCCCATTATCAAATTGGTCCACATTGAGGTCCAAAGGGTACAAATTAAACTTTACTTGATTTCATCAAAAACTTAATTCAAGGGGTTCTTTGATATGCTGAATCTAAACATGTACATGTATTTAGATTTTTTTTTGGGGCCAAGTTTTCAAGTTGGCCCAAATTGGGGTCAAAAACTAAACTTTGTCTGATTCAACTAAAATTGAATATGTTGGGTTCTTACATATGCTGAATCTAACCATGTACATGTATTTGGATTTTGGATTTTGGGCCCCATTTGCAAATTGGTCCACATTGAGGTAGAGGGTCCAAAATTAAACTTTGTTTGATTTCATCAAAAATTGAATTCTTGGGGTTCTTTGATATGCTGATTCTAACCATGTATTTAGATTTTGGATGAATAGTTAAATGTCCAATTTCAAAGTTTTTAGTTCTTAGACCACATTCATTCTGTGTCAGAAACTATGTTATGTCAAATATTTAATCACAACCTAAATTCAGAGCTGTAATGCACAATTAATAATAATAGAAATTGTAAGCAG